ACTTGGTAGCTATCTTAACAATGTTCATGACATTGATAGTTCCTTCGCTGCAACACAGTTTTAATAACACCGTCTTTAATACAACCAACACTCTATATTTTGACAAAGTCGCTGACATGAGAGTTGTTCAAGATCAATGGAAAATGATAGTTTATTACAACATGACAAAATACTGGCAAAACATGGCTGACATCCAAAATTACATTATGCATTTGAAAAGCGTAGAAAAGGATGAATTAATGTTTCAACCGATTATATCGCAATTCGAGCATGAACTGAATGAAATAAATTATTACAATGAATTATTGCAGGCTAAAAGTCAGACACGGGTAAAGAGAGGCTTAATAAATGCTATAGGTAATGTTGCAAACTCATTATTTGGGGTTTTAGATGACAAATTTGCGGAAAAGTACGAAAGAGATATTATGTCGATCAAATATAATGAAGATCATTTACTAAAGATGATACGAAATCAGACCTCTATTTTGGAAACTGAAAACAACATCTTGAAACGTAATGAAGATATAATGAATAGTCACTTCCAGTACATTAACGAATATTTAAATAATATGACGTCGGCGATTAACAACGTGCGAATAGTAACAGATAATCAATTGCAAATTATAACAATGGCACTCTCAGTTAATGTCATTTTATCTAATTTAAGAAGAGTTCAAGACACTTTACTTGAGACCGTTACAAACATACATCATGGGCGACTTGACATGCATTTAATATCACCTGATGAACTGCAAAATCAACTCAATCTCATTGCTGGACGACTTCAAGGGGAATTAGTAATACCACACAATAATGAAAGGGAATTATATCGTCTCATGCAAATGCGGGCAAAAGTGACAAAAGCATTCCTAATTATAGAAATCAAAATTCCATTATTAAGTCAGAACCTATTCAAACTTAATAAAATAATCCCCCTGCCACGAAAAGTGAATGACAGCATCCTCTACAATATTCCCATTACTCCCTACATCGCAGTGAACATGAAAAAAGATATGGTTATACCCATGACTGAGACCGACCTACAAACATGCAAACGGTATCTAAACGAGATGTTAATATGCTACGAAAGTATTCCCATACTTAATGTCCACCTTGATAGGTCAATATGTGCAATAAGCCTGTACAATAATAATAATGACTCATTTTGTCGGACAGAGCTCAGACAATGTTCACACAACTGGAACAAACTGTGCGAGCCTGCAATAGCTCACACAAGAGGAATGTCAATAGAATGTCACGGGAAGATTAATTAGAGAGAGTTTGTCAAATAAATTATACGTCAATACAGGTTGAATGCTTTTAATGCACTGTCCAACATGCGCTTGTAAAAATGTACATATTAATTAGGCCGATGTGGCAATAACACTCGACAGTTAAAAATGCAAACAAACAAAAATATAATGAAAATGGCTTGTACATACTTAACGTGATTTTTTCTGACCTCTGACTAACTGAAGGTAGGTAGTTGAAGGGATTGTTCAAACATGAACATGCCATGTCAGCGAGATAACCCTACGTGATAAAGTAAGTACTGAAAAGAAACATATTAATTCCGGAATACAACTAAGGAAAACATCACGTACTCACGTAAGGATAGAGCGCTGAGATGGTACATTACACGCATAGCACACAATCATAGTGTGGTATGTGTGTACATAGGATAAGTTTAGTATATAAGATCATGTACCTAATATAAGAAATAAAACAGTCACTAGTTGATTCCGACTTTGACTCACTACCCTTCCTCCACCTCTCGGTGGAGGAAGCTCCTTCTCTCGCTGTGGCCAAGACACCTTTAGCCATCGACCGATCTGTCGTGTGAGTCTGCTGGACAGACAGTGAGCAAACCCTCACCACCATACACCATTCCTACCCACATTCCTTCTGCCATCACAGGTCTCAGGTGGCAGATATCCAGCACCTATCTATATAAGTATATATAAATACGTATGGTAGGGCTAGGGTCTAGGGACTGTAGGGCTAGGGCATTAGGCGCGTACGAAGCGTAGGTCTGTATCACAGCATACCAACGTGTGCCACGATAGTACGTGCCTTAGGTTAGGGCCTAGTAGTAGGTGCGTAGAAGTGCTGGTCTGTATCCCAGTATACCACGGAGCACCACGCCTATACGCATTATACGCTAGGCAAGGCTAGGATAGGATATTATAAGTGTTAGATTATCTAGGATAGTGTAGGGTAACGTTAGCTTGTAGTCATTAGGTTTAGGTAGTCCTATACAGTAGGATTTTAGTGTTAAGCTACTATCCCGCTGTACAGGGATGGATAGTCACATAGGCTACTGTTTATCTTTTTGTGACGCGAGCGAAGCCGCGGGTAAATGCTAGTAAGTACTAAATATTTCAAAAGGTAGTATAATGTTCTGCGTTTTCGCTTTTTCGTAACCACCTAAACTTGGTCGGGTTACCACGGCCATTCACTTCCTAATGACTTTAATCGTTTTATCTCATTAATTATCCAATGTACTTAGCTGAAATTTTACTGATATACAACTGAACTAAACAACTAATTATTGACATAACATTCAGTTCATATTACCAATCCAGTGGCCAAATAACACCGCGCGCATCAAGACCGTGCTCGTGAACAACTCAATATAATCATAACTTGTTCAATACTTACAGGATACTAGTGAAACTTCACATACATTTGAAGGCAGTTACAAGCTTTAAAATAATGTTTAAAGTGAGTCTTTAGAGCTTGAGAGTGCTGAAACCAATTTAAGTGTTTTTGTATTTAATGAAATAACTTTTAAGCTATGTGTTATTTTGGTTTTTTATTGCACAACAAATTTAAACTAATTCCTAAGAAGCCATGTACAAAATATGATAAGAATCTGCTTAACCATTTTAAAGATCTAGCAAAATCAAAAACGTTACCCCAGCAAAATCTTGAATAACTTCGCAACCGATGAACGAACCAATACAAAACAGGGCACAACATTTACTTCATCTAGAGGTAGACAAGTAATTTTATAGGTATTAATTATTGAATTATTCCCATTAGAAAGAAAAAGGTCTGGCTGGGTTAACGTTACCCCAGCAGGAAAAGTTTTTGTGAAATAATTAAAAACTATAAGCGCAACAAATATAAAAATGTGCGCAACAATCACAGAAGCCGCGCAAATAATGATCTATAACGTTCAAATGACCATTTTCGACAACATCTGGCCTGGGTAACGCACACCATAAAGCTATGACGTAGGCATCTCCTGAGAAAGGAATTTGATAAATTTATTCTACCCCCAATGGATTAAAATAAGACATGATAGTTTGTATAAATCTTCTTAGCGAATCTAAAATCATTGAATCTTTTTGAGTGAGATTCGGTAAAACGATAATTTGAGATCTGAGAAACGATGTTTTTATCACAGAAGTCCCACGTGTATGGGAACTATGCGTTAAAGCCAGACTCTCTATCCCTTAACCACTGATCTTATTTTAGAGAGATTCAGTACAACAATAGTCGAATGCATTTTATTACTAAACCCTTACGGGAACAGGCACTGTAATGATAAAATCCCTGCGGGATTATTTATTTTTTTAAACCACGATAAATTAATTTCACTACATATAATAAAATCGTAGAAAAGTCAAAATCGTACCTATAATGAATATTTTTTTATTTAATACTTGGGCGTGATCTACAGTCGATACTGAAGCCAAATTATGAACTTTAGAATGTTTACCTGTTTGTCTGTATGTTTGTCAGTCAAAGGTTAAAAGTCACCACTCACTGAGTGGAGTGATGTTCACACGGCAATGCGTAAGTAATTTCATATTAATGTGCATAAAAACGCGTGCGTACGCATAAACACACGCACGCGTACGCACACGGATAAAAATATGCGTGTACATGTGTGTATAAGCGCTGCAGCGCAACCGTTAGTAGTCTTACGGTGGCAGTGAACTTTTGACCTTTGACCGTACATATATCCGGGATGATCTCAAAAATTACTGCATAGATCTACTTCAAATTTTGTATGATTATTATTACTGATAGATCGGGTCAACATATAGGCTAGGTGATATAAATTAATAGTCACAAAATTGTCAATAGCTTAATATTAGGTATCTATTAAGGTTTTAATGAATAATTTTGAATAGAACTTATGGTGCCGACTGCTAACTTATCAATAGAAGGGTAACCTATCAGAACTAATAATAGTTTCAGTTTTTATTTTATAATTTTTTGTGTAAAGCCGCACAGACCCGTTCATCAATACAAGTTAATCAAGCAACACAAGATAGTTACTATAAACTGTTGAGGAGTTCCTTCGACTGTTTGTCGGCTCCATCATTAGGTCGACTCCAGAACCTTATCAAATTTTAATGTTCAAATTTTTTTATTGTTTAACATAATAGTCGTATTAGGTACACGCCCCTTCAATTTACGAAACTTTCCCTTGGTTTTCCTAGGATTCCATCATCAGATCCTAACCTGATGAAAATCAAACAAAACAAAACGGTTCATAAATGACGGAGTAATTGGTGAACAAACAAAAAAAATAATCATCTGAATATAGTAGGTCCTCCTTTTTTTGAAATGGGTAAAAATTCGGTACAACGATAGTTTGACACCTAGGAAACGAAGTGTGATAGTCTTTATTCCGAAAATCACACGGTAACGGGGATATGCGTTAAAATTCCGGCACTCTGTAAGTATCTTTTAAATCACTGAATCCATTTGATAGAATAGTTTTAATCACTGAAACCTCACGAGGCGAGCTCTGTACGGGTTGAAACCTGATTGTTGGGACTGTTTAGTTTTTGGAATCACGAAAAAAAATTCATTTCACAATAAGTATAACCTAAGTAAGTACTGAATGAAGTCTGACGAAATTTTTTTGTTACCGTGGAATGCCCCTTGGTAAAGTCTAATTCAAAAGCCTAAATTCTGCCAGAAGTCATTCTGCTCGAACAAAGTCGCGGGCAACAGCTAATTAAAAATAAAATTCAGTGATGTGTGAATGTCTGATGCCCATGGTTCCAGACGCACGGTGGCGGCAGGAGTACGTGCGCGCGCATGCGGGCTGGCGGCTGGCGGCGCGGCACGGCGCGGGCGCCAGTGTACTGCACGGGGCGCTGGGTGCGGGCCGCGGGGGCGTGCGCTTGGCGGTGGGCTGTGCTGACGCCAGTGTGGCGGTGTGGGCGCGTGGGCCCCGCGGGTGGGTGGAGCGGGGCCGCGCGGCGCTGCGGGGGCGCGGCTGGGCCGCCGTGGCGCGCGTGCAGTGGCCCGCGGTGGGCACCGCGCGCCTCTTGGTGGCGGGCCCGTTGACACTAGTGCATGACTGGGAGTTGCTCGTGCTCTCTGTTGAAGGTGCTCAAAATTTGGTCATATTTAAACAAAATCGATTTGGTAATTTAATAAGGTTTTTATCGCATCTAGTGTGCCACAGACCGCCAGAGTTATTTTTATCTACTTATTGCGATCCACTACTGGATATCTAGACTTCCAACAGCACGTCACAACATTTGGCAAAATTTGTATTACTTATCAAATTATTTTGATTCTTATTTCAATGAAGTGCTATTTACGAAAGAAATTAACATAAAATTAATTTAGCTTGTGTTGACTAACCCCGCCCCCGCCCTACAACTTACTTTTAAGGTATTCCATCATAACCGAACACTATTTAAATAATTTAGTTTTTTTTTATTGTGACGTCATAGCCCAATTAACAGACTGAAGTAAATTCCATCGACTCTACTTTGCCTTCTGCCGTAAATTGAATCATCATTCATTTATATTTGTGGTTTGGAAAATAGACGCTAGATGGGTTTTGTCTGTACCTATGTACCTACCTATTTTTCAGTAGGTACTAGGTAGTATCAGTACCATCAGAAATTGTAAGTAGTTTAGTTTTTTTTATAAATACAACCTAATTTAGACTTTAGACTGCCTCGTTGGCCGAGTGGTCGCAATTGCTACTGCCGGGCAAGGGGTCTCGGGTTCGATTCCCGGGTTGGGCAAAGTATTACTGGGTTTTAAAAAAATCTCAGTAGTAGCACGGAGTCTGGAATTGTGCCCGGTATATGGCAATAGGCTCACCCCCTATTACATGGGACTCATAACATAAATAGTGAAAAGTGGGTGTTACATTATACAGTGGCATAATGTGCACCTCTGCCTACCCCTTCGGGATAAAAGGCGTGATGTTATGTTATGTTATGTTACAACCTAATTTATTTGTTATTCCACCGACATTATATATATGTCGTAGGATAATTTGATACTTCGAATCTTCGCGGAAATCCTAGGGGTTTTGCGAAAACGCGGATAATTAGACATAGGCGAAAAATTATCAAATCTTACTGGACAAAGTCAGGATTTTTGCGAAAATACTCGTTACTATAGTAAGATTGCGAAACGAAACGCTGGCTGTTATGAAATAAGAACGCTGATTGATCGGTCAGCGCGTTCAATAAGAGATCGTCTCTGATTGGTTGACGTCTTAAATGTTTTTTCGTCGTCTTAACTCGTCGAGTGCCGTATTTATAGACACAATTAAAGAACAATAGGTTGCGGTCACCGGTGACCGCTTGGTGTTTGACAGTTTAAACGACCAGTTTCATCCAATTTATGGACTACACCCTAAAATTGGATCATTTTTTTTACTACGACTGAGATCTCCTATTTGTCTGTAGAAAACAACATACATACTAAAATTTTCAATAAAAAGTTTATAAAAATCAATTTAGTGATTTTCCTTTCTCACCTATTCTAAACCTTCATATCTCTATGATACAATACTTGAAGTTAATCATCGGCAAACTAGGAACCAATTAGAAGTCAGCCAGCAAAATTGTAGCCAATCACTGTTGAGCACATCAAATCTTACTATAGTAACGAGTATTTTTGTAAAAATCCTGACTTTGTCCAGTAAGATTTGATAATTTTTCGCCTATGTCTAATTATCCGAGTTTTCGCAAAACCCCTAGGATTTCCGCGAAGATTCGAAGTATCAAATTATCCTACGACATATATATACTATATATAAAGAAATTCATTCAAAATTACTGTATTTAGATAAATCTAAAATAGATTGCATTGGTTTATTTGGGATATTGGCATATTTGCATGCCGATTTGTTGGTGGGATATGACATAGCATATTTGTAGGTGGGATACGACATAGCATATTTGTAGGTGGGATATGACATAGCATATTTGTAGGTGGGATACGACATAGCATATTTGTAGGTGGGATACGACATAGCATATTTGTAGGTGGGATACGACATAGCATATTTGTAGGTGGGATACGACATAGCATATTTGTAGGTGGGATATGACATAGCATATTTGTAGGTGGGATATCATATAGCATATTGATACATACAAATCATTTCCTAAACGAGTCATTCAACGCCATTAAGTGACGTCCGCAGACGACGGCTCGCTGGGAGCCGTGGCCAGCCGCGTCCGCTGCAGCGCCGGCGCCGCGGGGTGCTGGGCCGACGCGCTCGGACACACCTTCTGCTCGCTCGAGCTGCGCCGCCTCGGGCCCGGCCTCTACTGCACCACTGTCTGGCTCAACGCCGCCACGCAGGTACGAGGTACCCGCGTGACAGTGGAGGCACTCTCACACTCTGCACGCACCTGGACCCTTAACCATGTAGTGATTCCTTGTGTACTTATTGTAGTGATTCCTTGTGTACTTATGTGATATTTTTATGTGCAGGAAACTGACTCGGAATATGAAGGAGTGACGTCACCAATGCTGAGAATTTACAACGAAGAAAGCCAGCACTTGACGTGAGGAGCACTCGTCAGTATCCCCGCGCGTTCTCTTCGCAGCGTCGCTCACATGGTGTTTCCCGCAGGCACGCGGTCGTGACGCGCACCGAGCCGCGCCTTCTGGGGGCGGGCGGCGGGCGCCAGCTGGTGGCGGGCGGCGGGCGCCGACTGGGGGCCTGGCGCGTGCTGGCGCCACGGCCCGCGCGACTCGAGGCCAGCGCGGCGGGCGACCTGGCCGCGCGTCTGGGCCGATTGCGCGCACGGCGCGCCCAGCCCGAGCCGGAGGAGGCGGAGCCGGACGAGGCCGAGGTTCGCGCGGCGTGCGCTCCGGCCGTGGGCTGGTGCGGGCTGCCGGCGCCGCTGGTGGGGCTGGCGCTGGACGAGCGGTGAGCGCCAACTGCTCACCTATGAGCCACTTACTGAATAAATAAAAATTAATGATGAAACTGCGCAGCGTCGAGTTGCGTTTTGAGTAGGCCGCGCAGTGTCTCCATTGAAATGTGTATCTTATCGTGTAGAAAATGTTCGCCAGCCCTGCTCTGTCACCACGTATCGTTGACTGGCGTGTCATGGAGGAGGTGGAGACGTACTCCGACCACCGGTATATCCGGTTCAACGTCTCCGCCGAGCCCGCGGATCCGCCGGTCAGACAGGCCCCATGTGGCCCGCGTTGGGCGCTGAAACAGCTGGACCGGGAGCTGCTCCTGGAAGCCGCCATCGTGCAGGCCTGGGTGATACCACCGGTCAGGCCTGCCGACATTGACGATGAGGCCAAGTGGCTCCAGGACGCCATGTCCAGGATCTGTGACGTGGCGATGCCCCGGATCCGGTCGAGGCAACAAAAGCGCCAGGTGTACTGGTGGTCGCAAGAGCTGGCAGCTCTACGCAAGGCGTGCACTGCTGCGCGACGCCAGTACACTAGGCACCGCAGGCGCCGTCTCCGTCCTCCAAATGCGGAGGCGAGAGAGGCGGAGTTGTATGAGGGATACAGGGCGGCGCGAAAGCCGTCCTCAAGGCGGAGATATTGCGGGCCAAGGAGGAGGCCCGCCGGGAGATGCTGGGGACTCTGATAGAGACCCGTGGGTCGCGCCGTACCGCATGGTACGCGACAAGCTTCGCGCTTGGGCTCCCCGCTCACTCAGAGTCTCCGGCCAGAGGTCGTTGAGGAGGTAATTGGCGCCCTGTTCCCCCGGCTGTGGAGGGGCTTCACCCCTCCGTATATGACTCCGCCCCCTGCGGTGCCCGACGCGGGCTATAGCGACGACGACGACGACATCGTCCCAGAGGTGACCGAGGCAGAACTGAGAGCGGCGGTGCGCCGGATGGGCGCCAAGAACACCGCCCCAGGACCCGACGGCTTGCATGGCAAAGCATGGGTCCTGGCCTCAGAGGCTCTCAGGCCTCGATTAATCGGTCTCTACAGCGCATGCTTGGAGAGAGGCCAGTTCCCGCTGCTCTGGAAAGCGGGAAAAACTGGTCCTCGTGCGGAAGACGGGGCGCCCTGCGGACTCTCCGTCCGCGTACGGCCCATAGTGCTGCTCGACGAGGTGGGGAAAGTCTTCGAAAGAATCATTTCGAACCGCCTCGTCGCGCACTGACGGATATTGGGCCGGACCTATCGGACGGCCAGTTCGGCTTCCGCAGAGGGCGCTCCACGGTGGACGCCATCATGCGCGTTAGGGACCGGACGACGGGGACTGCAGTGTCCAGGGGTAAGGTCGTAGTGGCGGTGTCTCTGGACATCGCCAACGCCTTCAACTCCCTGCCCTGGAGCTGCATCTTGGAGGCACTCCGATATCATCGGGTGCCTACCTACCTCCGTCGTGTAATCGAGGCATACCTGACGGACAGGTCCGTCATCTACCCGGTCACCGGGGCGAGTGGAACCGGCGAGAGTGTCACGCGGTGTTCCACAGGGTTCGGTTCTGGGGCCGCTCCTGTGGAACATCGGTTATGACTGGGTGCTGCGCACCGACCTCCCGAACGGCGTTAGCATGATATGCTACGCCGACGACACGCTGGTGCTAGCGCACGGGAGGTCGCACCAGGCGGCGGCCGATTTAATGGCGACAGCGGTTGCGACAGTCGTTGAGAGAATCCGGCAGTTGGGACTCGAGGTGGCGCTCCACAAGTCCGAGGCCATGTGTTTTCATGGCCGCGGGAATGCGCCACCTCCTGGTGGGTCTCAAGTAATGGCGGGAGGGGTTACCATCGGCGTCGAGACGGCGATGAAGTACCTGGGACTCGTCCTCGACAGTCGATGGAACTTCGTGGAGCACTTCCGACGTTTGGCTCCAAAGTTGGCGAGGGTGGGGGCTGCGTTTAAGCGCATCCTCCCCAACCTCGGGGGGCCAAACGCCTCCTGCCGGAGGTTATACGCCGGGGTCGTGCGGTCCATGGCCCTTACGGCGCCCCTGTTTGGGCGCCGAACCTGCTGCAGCGGCCCGCTCGGGCGCTGCTTATGGCACAGAGGGTCATGGCGATCCGAATGATCCGCGGATACCGCACGATCTCTGGGGAGTCGGCGAACCTCCTTGCCGGATTACCGCCGTGGGATCTGGAGGCGAAGGTGCTCGCGCGCGTGTATCGCATGCGCGCGGAGGCACGTCGCCGGGGCGAAACTCCGCTGCCGCGCCAGATAAGTGCGTGGCGGGATGAGCTCCGGCGCGATCTCATGGCGGAATGGCAGCAACGACTGTCGCAACCGAGGGCTGGGCTCGCTGCCATTGCAGCGGTAAGTCTCCTCTTTGAGGAGTGGCTTGAGAGACGCTACGGCGTCCTCACCTACCGCCTGACGCAGGTCCTCACCGGACATGGAAGTTTCGGGAGGTACCTGTGTCTGATGGGGCGGGAGGAAACGCCCGGGTGTCATCACTGCGAGGGACCACCCTGAGGACACGGTGGAACACACTGTTGCGGAATGCCCTGCGTGGGCTGAGCACCGCCGTGCCCTCAGGGAAGTGATCGGCGATGGAGACCTCTCGCGTCCGGGCCTAGTTCAGGCCATGATGCGGAGCGAGGGGGACTGGGATGCCGTCTCCTCCTTTTGCGAAGCAGTCATGCTGGCTAAGGAGGAGGCGGGACGCGTGAGGCAGCGAAGCGCTGCCTCCTCGCAACCCAGCCATCGCGAAGGACACACCGGGCGTCGGGGATCGCGGGACGATCTCCGGCCACCGTAAGCGCGGGCCTGCGGACGGCGAGCATGGGTGGCTCCCCGTCCGACCAGAAACAGACCCGAGCGTACGGCGCGTCGCGTTCCGCGCGCGCCTCAAAGAGCCATCAGACCACCACAGATGGGGCCCAATAGGGCCGATGCCGATTCGGAGTCGCGGAGAACCTAACGGGTAACCGGGGCTCCGGCTCGACGTGCAGGAGAAGGAACGGGGTGGTTTTTAGTCAGTAAGAGTCTGACACTCCCTTCCGCCTCACCCAGGCGGGAGCAGTCATTCGATGATTTTCCCCCCTTAAAAAAAAAAAAAAAAATCGTGTAGAAAATAAAGTTATTTTTTGGCTCGCTATGTAGCGAGATGCAGTGCGGCCTTGTGTTGTTCATGACGCGTTTCGCGGTGCTGGTCTGTTTCAGTATGGCCACTTCACGTCTCGGTACGTACGAGTTGATATATAGTGTGCTACCATTGAGCTAAACCTATATAGGAACAATCTTCTATTATTAATATTAGACAGAGATAGAAATATAAACATGCAATAGTCAAGGAGTGTTGCCTGGATTGTAAAATTTTATACCTATACTAGCGGACCCAACAGACGTTGTCCTGCATATTCACTTGAATGTATAAACAAAAATTGACTACAGCGCCATCTGCCGGGCTGATTTGTGAATCTAAACCATTCCCAGATTCCCTTGAACACACACAAAAAATTTCATCCGGTCAACTGCTTGCTTCACTTTTTCAGCATCCTGTTTCGACTCAGTGCTGATTATTACACCTCCGTTTTGTGTCTTGCGGACTCCCCGCACGTGCAGCTTCATCTCTCTAGGTCTTATAAGTGTTTGCACCATAGTTTTAGTTTCCTCGCTAGTCAATTTATTGGTCGGATACACAACGATAGACACCAGATTGTTTGGTCGAACGAAATCGGATCCTTTTCTTACCATGTCCGCAAAAGACACATTCTTGGCTGTAGTTGAGTCCTTGAGAGATTTAGATAAATGCTATTATACTCATAAAGACTTTTTTGATGACTGACAGTATAATTTCTAAATAATAATCTATACAATATATAATAAATCTGTAGAAAAGTAATTTTTGTACATTGAACAAATTGACAAAAAATAATAGCCAGCGTGTTAAAAGATAACTAAAAGAACCCATTTCCATCATTTTTGATATTTTTGTCTGTTTGTGTTTGTATTAGCGAATTAAAAAATGTAAACAAGACATTTTCTTGTTCCTTTTGTTGTAATACTAGATGTGCCCGCTACTTCGTTCGCGTGGTTGTCGAAAACAAAACAATATCGGTTAGATAACAGTAGGCTATATACATATAAGATGAGGATTTGAGACAGCAATGAAATAATTTGATTCATCTATAACAATACAGAATCGACAATTAATTGTCACTGCTTTAGCCCGTCGATCCTCACTTAAATTCTTTAAATTAAATAACTAAAATAACAATCCTATATTATCGAAATAAAATTAATTCTTTACGATATTTCAATTTGTAGCTAGAATATTTCAATTGACGTTTGTTTTATGACACGTGTGTCACCTTATCTAAAGACAATACAAAGCATGGAGGCTTTCATCACCCCCCTTCGAAATAAAAAATAAATAATAATAATCTGAAATTAACAATCATATTTATGCATGGGTATGAGTTTCGTGACATGATATAGTCCAATACATCTTGTGCCACGACCAGTATTTATTTAAAAAACTGAATCCGATATTTTCTCTTCGATTTCAAAGGGACCGATTCTAATTTCATCCATCTTCTTTTTGTTTAATTTATTTCCATAGTCAACATATACCATACCCCCTTCCTTAAATTCATGTTGTATTCTATTCTTGGAAAATAAAGTTTTGTTATATTCGTTTGATTTTATTGACCTTTGTAGAGCTATTTTCCTGTCTTCTTCCAAATTCCTTGTTAATAACTGTTTTTCTTTCAATTCCTTAGGTAATAAATCTGTAGACTCACCACAAAGCAAATATTTAGGAGAAAATCCTGTTACAGAATGGTTTGTTTCATTGTATTTATTTCTACATTCCTCTGCTAGCCTTGACCAATTTGTTTTACCTTTTGATTCATTCATTTTGCACCTTATTTTATTCACAAGAGTTTGGTTCAGCCTCTCGTTCAACCCATTCGAGAATGGTGCATCAACTGCTGTTAATATTAATTTAATATTTCGGTTTCTAAGGTAATTTTTGAATTCGATCGAATTCAAAGCTGGATATTGATCAGCAAGCAAGATGTCTATTGTTTCTTCCTTAGGATTTTCTCTAAGAGTTTGATGAAATCTCGGGTATTTTGATTCTTGGAATACAAAGCTTTCATACATACAGGAGGCTTTCATACATATAAACTCCAAGAAGGTATTATAGTATTTTTTTTGCCAATAAAGATCCTGATTTTAGTATATTTTTATTTGGTAACTAGCTGACCCGGCAAACTTCGTACTGCATAAATTTCTTTTTCACCTTTTAAACCTTCCCTGGACTTCCATGAACATTTCAAGACCAAAATTAGCCAGATCGGTTTAGCCATTCTCGAGTTTTAGCGAGACTAACGAACGGAATTTCATTTTTATTTACCTCTATACAAAAATGAAATTCCGTTCCTATATTAGCGGTGGAATTACCCGGAGCATATACAAAAAGGTTGTTTTTTTCTTTGAGGCATTTTCAAAGAAAATATCAAAGCAATATACAAAACCGACAATATTTTAAAGAGCGGTGCATCGAACAGTCTCGTATGATAGCGAATCGTCTGTTCGTGGTCGTGACTTAACGAATTGGCTACACTCACTGTAACGATTGGCACTATTCAAACTCAGAAGTAAATACTTCTACTTCTACTTGTTTTAAATGTCAAATAGTATCTTTACTTCGTACTTCAAACCAATGGAGACACCTTTTGTACGGCAATTCGACTCTATTGTCTATCTCAATGGCTACGACCCGCAGTGGGCAGTGCATGTGGGCGGCGTGCAGCGACGGCGGCGCGGCCTGCGTGTCGCTGGCGCTGCAGCCGCTGGTGTACGTGCGCGGCCCGCTCGCTCCCCCGCTCGCCCCCGCCCCCGCGCCCCCGCACGCCCCTGCCCCCGCGCACTACATGCAGCCTGCGGCGGCCGCTCGCCTCGTTGCATGGTGAGTGACGCTGTGTGTGGAGGTCGTTGGGCCCGTACAGCTCGGCGGTGTCCGTGTGTGCAGGCACGAGTGACGGTGTGTGTGCAGGTCGTTGGGCCCGTACAGCGCGGCGGTGCGCGTGTGTGCGTCGCTGACGTGTGCGGCGGGCGCGGTACTGTCGCATGCGGCGCCCGCCGTGGGCTGCGTGCTGGCGCCCGCGGAGGCCCCGCCCGACTTGTCACCCGACGGGTCGCCTGACGAACCTACCGACTTGTCGGTCGAGTTGTTGGTTTTGGCCGGCGAGGAACTCTACGTGAGTGAAACAATACCTACCTACTTTGTGAATCAGTCAATATAGATACCGTACTAGAGTGGCCGTTGTTGCAGGTATGGCAGAGTCGCGCGACGTTGCAGCGTCAATATCTTGCTGCGTGATGCTTTGTTACCAATTTAATAAACTTTCGTTTCACAATGTGAACTTTATTATTTTCTTTTAAATAACATGCACTAAAACATCTGTAGGTTCTAAAAGTACCTATATAGGAATTGACAGTAAAAGATGTTCTAGACGGTTACGAAGTTTGCCGGGTCAGCTGACTGACGACTGACCACAGCAAGTGGGTATTCAAATTCCTGAAAGACGTATTGATTTCTCTATTTCTATTTATGTCAAACTGCAACACAAAAATCACTAACTTGTGTACTCAGTACATAAGTAAACCGCAGCTAATCATCAAACACTTCGCTATGACGTGTAGTCGTAGGTAGCAGTAGGTATGTATGTATGCGTAAATATCACAATGGTTGTGGCGAAAAAAAAGACTGTTATGTAGTATCGAATAAATACAAAACCGAGAGGCCGCGTGAGCACATCGCGAGGGCCGCGCCAGTCGGCCTCGGCCCAGTAATGTACACACACGACATGGCGCTACTCCTACCACTGCGGAAGGCGCGCGTGGCGCTGGGCGCGGGGCGCGCGCGCGGCCTGCTGGCGCCCGGCGGCGGCCCGTGCGGCGGCCGTGAGGTGCCGCCGTGCGCGCCGTGCCCGCCCACGCCGCCGCCGCGTGCCGCGCGGGCGAGCCCGCCCGCGCACCGCGTTGCGCGTCGTCTGCTGCCCGCCGCCGCAGGGCCAGCGCCCGCCGTGCTGCCCGCCCGCCCCGCCGCCCCCGCTCACCTGCCGCAACGCACTCAACCAGGTGACGATTCATCGCTCGTGTGCAACATCTTTATCGAGTCCCGTCCAGCAAAATCGTCTTTTTATATCCTACGTTCACCAGCGTTTTTCATGTATTAAGCATTTATTTTTCTTCGTATCTGTTATTAATTAGTGTCATATCATACTTTTTAATCATACTTTTCAGAATCGTGAATCGTCAAAACGACCGAATCACAAAGATTTATCTCGAGATACTTTTAACATTGGCGAATGTCACCAAGACCCTGTTGCGCTAAGACTGAGGCTCGCTAAATGCGCGCAGCAAGCCGAATATGAACTGGAGGTGGCAGAGCGCGCGCAACGCGGAGCGCCGCGGGCCCCGCGCGCTACGTACCAGCTGCGCGGCCAGCGGGAATGCGCGCGTGCTACGGATGGCTGTACGTACGCCGTGCTGGCGCCCAGCGCGCCAGCGCCCTCGCGCTGCGGCCCCGGGCGCTCGCCGCCGCCGCCGCGCTGCGTGGAGCTAGCGCCTGATGACGCTTGCCGTATCCGTGGCGATGCGCACCTCGACCCGTGCGCGCACCGCCCGCGCACTATGATAGAGATCGACCGCAGTGCCAGCGCCGCGGCGCCCCGGCCCACTGCGGCGGCCCGGCCCGCCGCCCCGCGCGCTCCCTCCGTGGAGTGTGGCGGCGGCCCTGCACCGAGCTGGTGTGCCAACCCGCCCCCGCCGGCTTCCGCGCCGCCTCGCTGTCGTCGACCTACAATTGTGGAAAGACTTCAGGCTCGTCCCCCGGAATCTCCCAATGAACGACGAATTCATACATCGACAATATTCTCTAAAGCAGAGAAGTGTTCTAAATCGACAACAGGTGGATTAGAAAATATGCTCCGTTCAAAGCAACAGCTAAAAGAAGCCGGGCTCGGGCGAGTTGTGGTTGGCAATGAAGCAGGGCGTAGCGCGCAGGAAGCTCCCGGCGGCAGGCTGGAGCTGGCGGTGCCGGCGGGCACGCGGCGCGTGGCGGTGCGCGTGTCGCTGGAGGGCGCGGCCGGCGGCCCGTGCCCCTCGCTGCCTGCGCCTCCGCTGTCTGCGCCTCCGCTGTCTGCGACATCCTCGGCACCCGTGTGTGGTAACAAACCTTCCTTCTGTACTAAAGCTTCTACGACTTCTGTGAGACAGGATTCTTGGCTTTCGATAAAACAAATTCAGAAAAAATTAAACCGATGCGGTGAAAGTTCCACCGATATAAAAGCAGTCTCGCGCAGCCCCGGCCGGAAGCACGGGACCATGGCTCCGACCGCGCTGCAGAAGGCCGCCTTGCCCACCAGACGATGCTCCTCAACGTCTGCTCTACTGGCAAACACTGTCGTAGTTGGCTCTGTCTAAAATAGAATGCAGTCGTGTGTGTATTATTTTTCAATAAAATAATTATACTTCATGATACGGATTTCATTTTTATTGGAGCATCTATTATTTTTATCGACTTCAAAAAAAGGAGGAGGTAGGTACTCGTACTTCGTACAATGTTCGAATGATTGTTTTTTGTTTGTTCACCGATTCCTCCGCCATTCGTGAACCGATTTACAAAATTCTTGTTTCGTTTGAAAGGTTATTTTCCTTAGGTCAGGATCTGATTATGGAATTCTAGGAAAACGAAGGGAAATTTTCGAAAATTGTAGTCAAAGTCAAAGCATATATTTCAATTAAACCATAATTTGGTACTTTTGAAACGTCAACAAATACAAAATAAATAATAGTCTGTCAGTCAGTCCGTCAGTTAGGTGAAGCTAGGTGAAGCTAGGTGCTCATTCCAAATTGTAGATTCGAATGGAGAAGAACGAGCAAGAAACTCCATTCGTTACTCTTTTTAAAAAAGTCTACAGTTGTATAATGCAGCGGCGGCCTTACCCATTGCGAGGCTATGTGCAGCAGGTCTTTGCGAGGCCCTTTGTCTTTCGTTAAAGTATGTGTTGAGAAAGTAAGTCTAGTTGTTTGATTCAGGTAAATGTCATGTTTGAGGAGGAATGCCAAAGTTACACAAATTAATGAAATTTTAATTTTAAAATATTTTATATTTAAAGAATCACAAAAGTAAATTAAATCAAAAGACTTAAACTTAAATCATTTAACGAATGAGCAACGTCATTTTCGATTGAAAGAATAGCAAGGGCTGAAAGCCGATCTTGTGTCATTGAATTCAATATGTTTTAATAATTTTAAGCCTTAAAAAATTAGCGTTGACGGCGGCACCGGTGAACTAAGAGACAATGATTTAATTAATTCTTCATCACCTTCGCTGTTTTCACTTGTTACCGGTACCCTTGATGATGTGGTGGTGTGTTTTCGGCTTCACTTTTTTTAAATAGTGACTTCTACTCGACGTATTCCTCTCTGGAGGTGATAATACAACCAATTTCCTACAAAATTTGCCCTAAGGTCTCTGGTCCGAAAGTGGCTAGTTTCTGAGGTACCTACGTTATTCAACATTTTCGGTTTTGGTGAAAAAATCCCGATCGAACTACAAAAACATCAATAAATAAAAAAACTACTTGTTTGATTTAAGTTATTTTATTTTTGATTTGTTGTCAATACACCAATAAACATTAATTAATACTAATACTGGCAGAAATATCATTCGTTTTAAAATAGCAAGTAAATTAGTATCAGATTTTGTTTTGAGTCAGTAATTTGGTCAATAGAAAACTGCATTTATTTAGCTTCAAAACAATATTACACTAAGCGTACAAACTAATATAAAAACTTCCTTGGTTGCAATCCCAGCATGCATTCATTATAGGGAAGGTCACTTTGAACCAAATTTTGAAAATAATGATGTTTTTCCAATTGCCCGTTTTCCTTTACACTTTTATGTAAACTTTGTATTTTTGAGTAGCTAATAAACCAAGGAAGTTTTTATAATAGTTTGTACGCTTAGTGTAATATTGAGTTTTGAAGCTAAATGCAGTTTTTTATTGACCAAATTACTGACTCAAAACAAAATCTGATACTAATTTAATTCATCATCAACAGCCTATAAATGCCCACTGCTGAGCAAAGCCTCTTCTCACACGGAGAAGGTTAGAGCATTAATCACCACGCTTGCTCAATACGGGTTGGCGATTTCAAACTTATAATTAGAAATTATAAGTCCAGGTTTCCTCACGATGTTTTTCCTTCACCGTTTGTCAGTGGTGTCTAAAATAATCTTAGAAAGTACATATAACTCGGAAAAAGTCACATTGGTACTTGCCGTTGGTAGGTTTCGAACCCGCACCCTCATGCATGAGAAGTGGGCGTCTTAAACATCCGGGCCACCACGGCATTCGACTAATTTAATTGCTATTTTAAAACGAATGATATTTCTGCCAGTATTAGTATTAATAAATGTTTTAATTTATGCTAGATATATTTTAACATTTTTTTTAAATATTAAAATTTGTTTGGGTTGTTGCGCGAGGCCCCTCCAAGAGCGAAGCCCTGTGCGATTGCACAGTTCGCCACCCCCTAAGGCCGCCGCTGCTACAATGTCTCTGATACATATTCCAATACTGTACGTATATGTGAGAACAATGCAAAGACACGCTTGACGCATTATAAGTACTAATTACAAACCTTACTAAAATCTACTATATAAAAATAAGTCGGGTTTTCCTTCCTGACGCTATAACTCCAGAACGCACGAACCGATTCCCACGGTTTTACATTCGTTGGTAAGGTCTCGGGCTCCGTGAGGTTTATAGAAAAGAAAATTCAGGAAAAAAAATTTCTTCTTCTTTTAATCACCAAACGAAATGTTATATAGGTAAAACAAAGCCATCTGGTGGCGAAACGGAGTTCGCCGGGTTTGCTAGTAATAAAAATAAAAATAAATCTTATAGTCTAACATGGTGCTTACATACGCATACTGACAATCTATAAAAATAGTGCTTCTATACAAGAAAAAGGAAACTCTTAGTTTCAATAAAGAAAAATATGCTCAATGCCATATGAAATTAAATTGTCTACATTAGAATGAAAGTATTAAATTATTAAATTACCTACTATTGGAATCTAACTACTGACTACATTTGAGTATTGTCCAGTGGAGCCAAACCAACATGCTGCCAAGCATTCTTATCTTCAAGATAATGTCAGTCTGTAGTAAGCTTGTTTACACAATTCGCGCTTGATATATGTTTTAAATTTGCTTTCATTAAGATCTTCTACTTGGTATTTTATTATAACATTTAACACATAACCCCATGAAGGATTTCTGTACCTTGGACAGTCTGAATTGCAGTATAGCTAACTTATTCTTGCCTCTAGTAGTTTTCTTGTCTATGTAGTAGTTACGCTACTTGGCGATAGGTAGCGCTGAGTGTTAAAAAAGGGGTAGCATTGTTTTTTTTAAGTATTTTCCCTTTTTAAATTTTGGTTCCAACCATTTTACATTAAATTGCGTATTTTATAGATTTTAGGTTGTTAAAGGTACACGAAATCATAGTGGCAACAATACTCAACAATTAGCAAATACATTGTACGCTGTTGTTTCAACGCTCGATAGATGGCGTTAGGATCGATTTAGATGGCGCTATGGTTTCGTTACCGGCGAAAGTATAGGTTCCGAGCTTCCGAAACATTAATATTTTGGTGAACGCATCTAACACTATTATTGATTTTTATTCGTTCGATCTGTAGATTTGATTAGTCAATGGTCAAGTGTTATTTTTTCTAGGTAAGTATAATTTCCAAAGAAAAGAAGTAATTTTTTTTTCGTCGTTTGAAGTCGCTTTGTTCAATTTCATTGTTTACGTTGATTGATACAGTAGCTGTATATTAGTTAGGTTAGATTAGTGAAGTGGTTTATTTCTAAGTAGATGTCTAAAGTAGTTAGGTTTTCGATAATAAAACGTATACTATAGTTTACCACTCAGTTTTGGTTTTACATTGCAAATGAAACCTCATAGGAAATAGAAGTCTTTTAAATTATGGGATGATGGTATTTGTGGTAATGCGAAATAACTCCTTCTGTTGTTCTTTCACGCTAAACGGCTGAACGGATTTGAAAAAAATTTGGTGTAAAGGTTGTTAGAGTTCTGGAAAAGCAAGGCTTTACCGCGGCAGAACTTCTCATTTCCACGGAAAAATCTAAAAAGCGCGATATAACCGAATTCCATGCGAGCGAACAGCTATTTATTTGTTTGCCTGTCTTAAACGGCAAAACGGAGGTATTTAACGTGATTTTTTAACTGAAGGTAGTTGAAGGGATGGATAGTCATATAGGCTACTTTTTATCTTTTTGTGACGCGAGCGAAGCCGCGGGTAAAAGCTAGTATAAAATAATTGTAGATTGTGCTGCCCCTGTGTATAATTGTTCTGAGCTACTTTTTCCTTGCCAGAATATACCTTATTATTTATATGATTTATGAAGGTATGTTCTGTTGTCTTTATATCTAGTTTAAACTTAAATTAAAATGTGTCTCTGTGCTGTTAGACACTCTAGAAAGCACAGATTCGTCCTTAAAACTACTTTCTGTTATACAAGTTATAACAGTGTTAATATTATTTTTTGTCGACATTTCTTTGAAAGGTACACCTTTCTTTGTAAAAACAAAATTTCCAATAAATTTATTAGTGTCAAAAATAAGTCAGTCATTGTGACATGTCATTTGGTGTAGTGTATTATTTAGTACACCTATATATTTGTTCTTAGAGCAGCAGTTTTGTAGGGAGAGTATTGCATGTATTATGTTTTTCGGTTGGAGTGTACGTAACGGGACACTGAGGAAAAAAGAATTAGAAAATGTTTGCAATGTTTTTTTATTTTGTTTATTTTCTCGATTCTATCGTATAGAACACCAAAAAATAAGGCGAAAAGCATTCGGGTGATTTTTGTCTCCGACCAACCGTTTGTCGTAAAAACGATGTCGTAAAAACGAAGACCATGACTTTCAAGGTCATTCGACCTTGACCTCCAGAATCACGACCGTCACCAGGTCATTAACCATTAATATTGACCCAAATTTAGGATACAAGAGCGAACGAAGCGAGCTCGGAACATGGGGCACCCCGACTCGGATAGGTTAGGTTATAAGGGATAAACAGAAACGAATCACTGCAAATCCGACGCCACGTGGTCTAGTTTGTCCCAACCCTAGAGAGCAATTCAAAAGCGCGTAGGCGCGTAGGGGCGAGGCGGCCCGCGAGCTGAGGAGCAGGTGGTTATTTCGTTTGTCGCTGCAGCTGAAGCCGGCCAGCAAACCGAAGCTGCGGCGGTAAGCGTAGTAACCATCTGCGACGACAAGCTCGCGTGGGACCGCCGGAGCACCGCAGCGCCGGAGCCGTCACAGAAAACCTTTGGATTGCATGCCCCTTTTTTGACATATACAATTTTTTTAACCCTCGACTACGCTTACGTATGTATGGCTTTCACAGGGAAGACACACACACACACACACACACACACACACACACACACATACACACACACACACACAAACACACGCTTCCTTGTCTATTCAAGGAAATCACGGATCTTGCTTTTCGGAATTTCAACCTTGTCTCAAGGTCAATGACTATGAGAGCAAGGTCAAGGACTATAAGGAGAAGGTCAGTGACATTACTAGAATCGCGGATTTTACATAAAAAATTTGACCTTGAGGTCAAGGTCACTGACCTTGAATGACCTTGAGGTGCACCATGGTGTTTCCCCACCCTTCTACTCCCACATCCCACCGGCCACCCATTGATTAGGCGATAGATTTTGGTGAAATTTTTCTAAGTCTTTTTTTTCAGTGTCCCATTTCGTATCCACTGACCTGTTTTTCCATAAATATTTTTATGCACTACAATTTCATAAGAGTCTGGAGTTGACCTGATGATGGAGCCGACAGACAGTCAAGGGAACTCCTCAGCTGTTTATAGTAACTTCGTTGTGTATTGGCTAGGTTAATTTGTATTGATGAGAACTTTACATCTAGATGGAGTGGTACCATCATTAAGGGCCTGGTGATGAAGAACTGGCTTACAGTAACTACCTTGTGTTTGGGATTGTATAATTTGTATTGATTAAAACTTTATTTATATTACTTATAAGTATATGGAATATTTTAAATAATTATAAATTCAAAAATGGGTCTAAGTAGCTTTACACTAAAATTTTAATTTATTATTTGTATTTCCGATACTTTTATCTATTTATATAAAAATAAATATCTGTTCGTTAGTCTCGCTAAAACTCGAAAACGGCAGAACGAAGTTTGCCGGCTCAGCTAATCATAAATAAGCCACATTTCTGCGCGTGTGTGGACTTGACAGAACTGTGTGTTTTTTTATGGAACAGGAGGCAAACGAGCAGACGGATCACCTGATGGTAAGCGCCGCCCATGGACACCCGTAACACCAGAGAAGTAACAGGTGCGTTGCCGGCCTTTTAAAAAGAAATACGCTCTTTTCTTGAAGGTTTGAAGGTCGTATCGGTTCGGAAATACCGCCGACGACAGATCATTTCACAGTTTTATAGAGCGTTTTGTGTACCTAATATTAGTTTTATGGAGGGGCAATTGTGACTGCAACGGTTTTGCATACATTATGAACTCCGCACCATATCTTCTTTATTATGTCTATGGCGATGAACTTTACTCTCTTTGAGAGATGGAACGATGAACCTTTTTAGAAACTGTCAATCATAGGAAAGTTGTCATTTTTACGATTATATATTTGTAAATCTATTTTGTGTTTATATTAATTTATTGAGAAGCATGGATATAACTAGCGCGTACGGGGTGAAGCGCGGCTCGATGGGCCGGCAGGTTATGTTCTGCGAGCAGCCGACCGTGCTGTGCGACTCCATCGCGCCGGACCCCGCGGAGGCGCGCCGCTACATCCTGCGCAACCCGGTGCACGCCACCGTGCAGCACGCGCCCTGCTTCGCGGAGCACCACCTCAACACCATCCGGGCAGACTACACCAACTCGGGAGCCAACCACTCGGAAGGCGGCTGGCCGGAGTATGTCAATATCCACGACCCCGAAGCGACACAACGCTACCGAAGGAAACTGGAGAAGGATGATGGTTACATTCGTTGCGTTATGAATCTGACTCCGGTGAGTGAGCTTCCCTCGGTCAGTCTAATTATGTATCATGTATCTATACCTCTATATGCATCTGACTATATTATGTTTTGTAGGAGTTGGAACATTACGTGTATCAAAACAACGCTATCGACATGTACCAAACGTACTACACGGAGCTGAAACAATATCCAAAACTAGAAGAGAGCGATTGCCGCACGGTGAACATCTTCCGCGACAAACTGCCACACAGCGGCCGCAGATCTGTCAGCTCCATCAGCTGGCAGCCGGAGGGCGGGTACCGGTTTGCAGTGTCCTACGTAGACGTGGACTTCAACAGGAATAATCTATCTCCTATAGAGGCATACATATGGGACGTGGAGCAGTCAACCAGTCCCGAGACGACGCTGGAGCCGCCGTGCCCGATGATAGACTTGCAGTTCAACCCGCGCGAGCCGAGCGTGCTGGCCGGCGCGCTGCTGAACGGACAGGTGGCGGCGTGGGACCGGCGCAGCGCACGCGCGCACGTGATGCTGTGTCCGCCGCACGTGGCGCACCGCGACGCCGTACGCAACGTGCTCTTCATCAACGCCAAATCCGGCGCGGAGCTGTTTTCAGGCGGAGTGGACGGTGCCATTAAGTGGTGGGACCTGCGGTACTTCACGGAACCTACCGAGGAGCTCATCCTCGACCTGGCAAAAGCGAATGAGCAGCAGACATTGACCAATTCTATGGGAGTCAGTTCCCTGGAGTTTGAGCATACGATACCGACGCGGTTCATGGTGGGGACAGAAGTGGGAATGGTCATTACGGGCAATCGCAAAGGGAAAACCTTTGCAGAAAAACTGCCCGGAAAAGTACGTGCACTGTTTTATTGTCCACTAGCTTCTGCCAGCGGCTTTTGTGAATTTGTGTGTAACAAATTACACACAAATTCACAACTTTTCGCATTTATAATAGCGATTTAAACTAAAAACAACAAAAAGAAAATGCTTAATTATATTCACTTTTTTAAATAGGGATGACTGTTGGAGAGAGTTTTTGGACTGTATAAATAATGATGCTGATTAAAGGTCTAGGTACTGGTTTATTCGACGGAAGGTAGGTGTGCCTTTACAAATATACGGCGCGCAACGCGTACAGTGCTCACAGCTGATCGAGTGGAAAAGAACGGGCCGCGATCCTCGTCCTCGTACATGTTGCTCCCCGCGCAGCGCTGTCACCACCGCCAGTGCCGCCTCCATCGACGTCATCGAGATGTTCGAGACGTTTCCGAACAATGACTGAGAGTGTTAACTTTATTATTTTCATTTATTAACAGATTACAACTGTGACCATTACATGGTTATAATGATGTTTTGTTATGGGTTTGTCGCACCCACTTCTAACCTAACAGTGGGTGGGTATCCTACAAGTGCGGATGACTAATGGTTATATTGTGCTTTATAGTTTGTGTGTTAGTTTTAAACACTATATAAACAAATTATCAAACTCTCTTACCACCTCTACAATTTTTAAAGTTCCCCGGTTTCCACGGGATCCCATCATCAGATCCTGACCTGGTGGAAATGGGACCACCTCGAGACTATAAATATTCCAACAAAAAATAATGATTAAAATCAGTCCACAAACGCCGGGGTAATCACGTAACATACAGACGAATTGAGACCTCCTCCTTTTTTGGAAAGTTTGTTAGAAATAAGTGTTGCTTTGCGTGTGAGTAATCCTTTGAAACGTCGACGACCCATTCATTCAACAAAACTTATAAAATTAACATTATTTAACATACGTGGGGCGCCTATTAAAATTATGTTTATCTTACTACTACAGTTCCATTTATTATATTATATTTGTTGTCTATTTTCACTTATTAACTACACTAATACACTTAAAATTTTAAACACTCAAGTACTTTGGAGTCCGTTTACTTCATTCTGCGTTGCCAGGGTAGCGGAGACAATCTCGGACGCTCCCTGGTCGCCAACATCTCCCGGCTCCATTCTTCAGGACACCAACTGCTCCCGGCAGGTCCACATCTGGCTGCATCGACACCCGGCAGCCAGCAATATCTCCACTTTTTTACATTTTTGCGAACACTGATACGCACTTTTAGTTTCATTAATTTTTTTAAAGTTTTTATATCACAAAATCCATAATTGTACTCGTGCTCAGCGCTGCCCGCGTGGCAGCACTGGCAGGGTCGCCATGCAATGTGGAGCAATGAGGGAGACGTGTTACTGTTAGGAATAACTTTAATTAAGTGTCTTAATAACTGTCTTACGCTACTTACTTATAGGGCGAGGTGTCACACTCACTACACTAAAGAGCAATTAGTATCGAAGGTTCCACCGGTATATTGTACGAATATTGCCTTGGGAGTGTTGCCTGTGTTAAGGGTCTCCAAGAGACTGCGCTGTCCGTCGATTACCATCCACTGCACTTGTAGGCATATTTATTTGTTTCAGTTTGATGCGCACGTGGGGCCAGTGTGGCGGGTGGAGCGCAACCCTGGCTTCCTGAAGAACTTCCTGACAGTCGGCGACTGGACGGCGCGCGTGTGGAGTGAAGAGTGCCGCGAGTCCGCCATCTTATGGACTGCTCCACACCGCCACGCCATCACTGACGGCGCCTGGAGTCCTACTCGGTAAGGACGCAATACTCGCCAAACTTCTCAATTCGACCGTACACTGTATGTTAATGACCCTCCCCCCTTCCTGTTATATTGTACCACGCTATACTCTAGTAGTCACTCAGTAGTCTGACTGTGAGTGTATAAGTGGGAGTGCGCAGGGTGTCGCTGCTGATGCTGAGCAAGTGCGACGGAGTGCTGGCGGTGTGGGACCTGCTGGCGGCGCAGCACCAGCCCGTGCTGAGCACGCAGGTGTGCCAGGAGCCGCTCCTCAGCGTGCGCCCGCACGAGGCGGTCAGTACTGACACACTACTACTATACTAGTACTATTATCACCAAGAGATTACTTCGTGCTGCAGTTGCCCCTAGTCGCCAGCAATGTACTGATTGCTCGGCTGTTGACTGCTCTCACGCAGTTGCCGCCGACTCCGACTCCGCTCCCGCCCCCACCCTTCATTCACATCATGGGTTTTGAGGAGGAAGCACTTTCTGTTACTTTTGCTCACACAACGATGATGACGGTGGCTTAAAATTTGAAAAATATGAAGACTTTAATTAAAATATTTGATATGTACTTTTAGTTGAGTAATTTGGTAGTTCTACCTGTAATGTTTTCCGGGAGTTTTGAAAATCGGCAATTTTATAGATTTTGATGTGCTCTTTTCCATTTTGCACCTTTGTATCTTCCATCTTGGAAAAATGGCGGTCATAACGGTTTTTTTATATAATATCTCTTTTCATGTGCATTTCTTGACAAAACCGTAGTCTACCGTAGTAAATTAAACTAGTTAGTCACAATTTTTTACAATATAATGTCCAGATAGATTTTTTGTAAAATGAGTAGTTGAGATGCCAGAGCACCACTAAGATTTATACAACCTATTGGACGTGGAGTCTGCCCGGACTGCTGAATATGCCCGGTATATGGCAATAGGCTCGCGCCATATTACATGGGACTCGTAACATAAATAGTGTGGGAGAGCCACTGAACATATAAAGGAGATTAGAATGGCCTTGAGGGCGGTACATGCGTGCTGCGATTATGAGCAAATGCCCGAATCTACCAAAATGTCAAAAACCGGCCATCACGCAATGTTGTTGTGACAGCGTACGAAACTCCGCAAATAATATTAAATTATGTGGAAGGCCTAACAAGTTGTTATACATCATATTTTGAGACCCGGGAAAGGACATCTGAAAGTTTTCAACCCAAAAAACCCACGAAACCGGGAACTGTGCGTTAAAATCACTATATCTATTGAAATGCGATATAACATTGATTTGCAAACATAGAATAGTTTTGATCACTGAAACCTCACGTGACGGGCACTGTACGGGTAAAAGCCTCTGTGCCATTAATTTTATCGATATCAGTAATCGACGTTTCGCTCCCCCTACCATATATGAGTTTTTTACGCCTGTATTAGTGTATGTCAAACGAAGTGATTGAGTCAGTGTGACGACCATTAACAAATCATTTAACCTAGTGCGTGTTGTTTATTTGTGTGCATTTTCCGCGTAGGTATTGGTCTCTTGCTTGTAGTAAAGTTAAAGAGTGGGGGACAAACGGCGACGCGTGTTCTAATACAAATCAGGAACTATTTCCTTTCTAGCCTTCTTTATGTGTTCTGTGGGGAGAGCCATGCTTCGGCATGAACCGGCCGGCTTGACCGGAGTGATACCACAGCCTCACAGAAGGCCAAAGTGAAATAACGCTTGCGTGCTGCTTCGTCGTGTGAGTAAGGTAACCGGAGGCCCAAATACCCCCATCTGTCCTTCCCCAATCCCTGAATCCCCAGCAATCCTCAAATTTCTAATCCCAAAAAGCCGTTGACGCACTTGTAGCGCCTCTGACGTGCCAGGTGTCCATGGGCGACGCCTGTAGCTTATCATCATATGATCCGTTTCTCGTTTACTGACTTATCCATTAAAAAATGGTGAAAAGTGGGTGTTACATTGTACAGTGGCATTAAGTGCCGTGATGTTATCTATGTATGTCTAATTTACCTACTAGTTACTCGACAGGGCGCGCTGGTGTGCTGCGGGAACTCTGCCGGCAACGTGTACTTGCTGGAACTGTCGCACGACCTCACGCTCAGCGACAAGAACGACAAGCAGCTGCTCACCTCGGTGAGTATGCGTTGTGTGTGTGTGCATGTGGGTGGGTGTGTGTGTGTGTACCGGTACGTCTGTGCAGGTGTTGGAGCGGGAGAGCAAGCGCGAGCGCATCCTGGAGGCGCGCCTGCGCGAGATCCGGCTGAAGCAGCGGCAGGCGGAGGAGAGCAGCCCGGCGCCGTCGCTGAGCTCGCTGGACGCGGCGGCGGCGGGGGACAACGACCTGCACCAGGCCACCGCCGAGTTCTTCTCAATCGTCAAGAAGGAGCTCACCTACTTCTGATGTGCATTGCTGCCGGTTGCTTCGCACTGGCGCAGAGCGCCTCGTGTACCGATCTACTTTTATAGATTTATTTTTCTGATTCTTTAATTTTTAGACAACTATAATGCTACCTGATGTACTTGTCAGAATTTTAATTAATTTTGAGTAAAGTTATACCTATGTATGTACATGTTCTTAATAAGTGTTTTCTTGTCAAGGTCGATGCTCCAAGGTTCAATGCGCCGCGGAATTTAAATCGTTTTTTCCAATGTGTGGCAATGGCGATATCGGATAGTTACGGTAGTTGCATGTATATTGGAGCACCCACCTTAAAAATAGTATTTTAGAATACCATGTATTTTGTAATTTCATGTAATTTGTTTTATACCTAATATTACGTGTTAGTTATGAATAAACTTATTAGACGACGCAGTCGTTGTTTGTAGTGGAAACTTTCCTACATACAAATGTACACACGAGCTTACACCACACATAGGCTTGCCAGCTGCCATACTTTATAATAATGTATCCTACTTAAGTTTCGGTAATCATCACTACAATTTGATAGGTGTCTGGAGTCGACCTGTTGATGGAGCCGATAGACAGTCGAGGGCACTCCTTAAAGGTTTATAGTAACTACCTTGTGTTTGGACTTGAACAACTTATATTAGTTAGAACTTTGCACCTATGTTGATTATTAGTGGCAAAACGGGTCTATGTTGTTTTAGGTACACTTAAAATTATAAATAAAAAATATAAAAACTGCTTTAAAAACCGACTTCAAAAAACCAAAATCTAAAAACCAAAAAAGTCAAAGTCAAAGCATTTATTTCAAATAATCCTTAATTAGGCACGTTTGGAACGGCAACAATTGAATTGTCGGTCCGTCAAAAAATAACTATTATTAGTACATAAGTTAAGTTTCTGATAAGTTACACACTCACTGATAGGTGATAGCTTAGAAGTTAGAAGTCGGCACCTTGAGCTCATCCAAAATGATATAAGTGAATGGTGACAAAATTCTAAACAGCTTCATATTATTTTTAATAACAACTGTCGTTAGACATACTAAATTAACTAAAAATGTAGTAGAGCTTTTCTCACGTGATCATATATTCACGTGAGTAACCCGCAATTTGTAGTTGGCTTAATATTAGGGTAAGATTAAGGTTTTATTAAAAATGTTGTTTACAAACAATGGCGCTTGCTCGCCAGTCATGTTTCTGCCACTGTCAGGGGATGCAAATGGCAACGATAATGATTTTACTATATTTATTAAAAATAAAATCACATGATAACTCCTACAATGTAACTAACGTAAGAGCGAATGCGTTCGATGTTAGAACAACACTGCTTTCTTATCTTAAAATTCTTTATTATAAAATTAGTAAGAAGGTTTTATTGAGGTTACATCTAGTGGGGTGAACGATGATGTATCGCACAGATATACATATTTCGATTCGTAGTTGGGGACAAGGCGGCGACAAGAGGAGACGACTCAGCAGTTCGAATGTTGCAATACACCGTAGAACCTTCGTTGCATCAAAGTAGGTGTAATGTCCTGATTCAGCAGATCTGGGCCTGGGGACTTACCTTTGAATCCAATTCCGATCAATCGATATTGGTATTGTGTAATTTCGTACTCTTGAGTTGCAACACTAGCGCCCATTGCATCCGTATTGCGTGGATATTGAATGAACTAAATGGCATTGAGTTTTGTCTTTATATTCCGTACTCTGAATGCTATTGTAACAGCTACGATTGTGGTTGTGTAGTGTTGACATTGAATAATTATTGAGATTACATTGGATTGCAATTGCATTGTCATTGAGATTGGTTTCAAGAGTACCTAAGCACCCTGGAGACACGGCGTTGATCACGGTGTAGGTACATGTTCCGGCACCGATACGTAACACGCCTATCTACCAGTGGGTGGGTAACCGATCAGTAGGTACCTACTAATAATAGAAACGTTTTGTCATGAGTTATTGGTATTTTTAAAGTCGGTTTTTTAAATGCAGTTTTTATTTTTTTAATGTTAATATGTAAGTATTATAGTTACTATCAGTTACCGAGCCACTGAGAGGTACCAACTGTGTGCCACGAGCCCGTCACTACGTCACATCTCTTATGTATGTATATAATACTAGCAGCCCGTCCCGGCTTCGCACGGGGTAGACAATTATTTATTTCTGGAAATTTGGACATAAAACACTTTTTTGTGTTTTATAAAAATGTTATTTATTAATGATATATTTAAATAAATCCCACAGTTATATTTGTATGTAAGTGTATTTATGTTCAATTTCTTTGATGGTTTAAGTGGCGGGCACGCTTTTCAGACTGCATCGCAAACAACGGCCGCGGCGCTATGTTTTGTTTACTGTTTGAACTTTTTAATTCGGAATATCTTTTGAATGGAAAGTCTAATTTAAATAATTTAAAAACTTTTTATAGGTAATTAACTCGTCGAGTACCGGTTTTATAGACACAATTAAAGAACAATAGGTCGCGGTCACCGGTGACCGCTTGGTGTTTGACAGTTTAAATGGTCTTGACCATAAAATAATTTATTTGGATAAGGATTAATATAAACACATAAATAGCATGGTTTGAATTTGGATAGCATTTTCATTAATGTTTAAAATGAAAAAAGTTGTTGTAGTGACATAACTACAATAGTTGGACATATGCTACCGCGGAGTTTTTTGTAGACATTATGATGTTCTTCAATATTGTTGTACATTATTTTGTTCTATGGCTAATAGTTTCGGCAGCGCATTCAACGAAAGACATTTTAAGACTCATTTTTCTACACCTTCGGTTAGGTACATTGTTAAAACTTTACCAAGGATCCCTAATTTTTTTCAAAATGAAATGTAACCTGTGTCAAATTGGAAGAATGTAGCTTTCTATTGGTGAAAGAATTTTTTAAATCGACCCAGTACTTTTTGGGCCTATTCATTACAAACATACAAAAATAGGTATAAATCTTTCCTCTTTATTACCGACTTCAAAAAAAGGAGGAGGTACTATGTTCGGCTGATTGTTTGTTTTTTTGTTTGTTCTCACAGTACTCCGCCATTCGAGAACCGATTTTCAAAATTCTTGTTTTGTTTGAAAGGGTATACTCCCGAGATGGTCCCATTTTCATGAGGTTTAGGATCCTAGGGAAACCGAGGGGAATTTTCGAAAATTCTATGGGCGAGTAATGCGTCTATTATGTTTTTCAATAACGAATTTTAAACACTACAATTTGATAAGGCTCTGGAGTCGACCTGATGATGGAGCCGACAGACAGTCGAGGGAACTCCTTAGCGGTTTATATTAACTACCTTGTGTTTGGGCTTGATTACTTTGTATTGATGAGGACTTTACACCTAGATAGAGTGGGGCTGTCATTAAGGGTCTGATGACGAAGAAGTGTAATTGTTAAGGGAACTCCTCAACGGTATATGTAACTACCTTGTGTTTGGGCTTGTATAATTTGTATTCATGAGGACTTTGCACCTATGAAGACTGTAAGTAACAAAACGGGTATATGTAGCTTTACACTAAAAATGATAAAATAATAAAATAAAAACTGCGTTTAAAAAACCGACTTCAAAAAACCAAAAAATAACAATAAACAAAAAGTTTAAACTAAAAAGCAAAAAATAACTATTATTAGTACTGATAGGTTACCCACCCACTGATAGGTTAGAAGTCGGTGCTATGAGCTCATATCATAATGATATAACTTAATGCCCACAAAATTGTGAATTAGGTACCTATTAAGGTTTTAATGAATAATTTTGTTTGGAACTTATGGCACCGACTTCGTACCTATCAGTGGGTGGGTAGCCTATCAGTACTAATAATAGTTATTTTTTGCTTTTTAGTTTAGACTTTTTGTTTGTTATTATTTTTTGGTTTTTTGAAGTCGGTTTTTTAAACGCAGTTTTTATTTTATTATAATATTAGTGTAGATATACGTGCTGTTGTAAATATAAAATTGAAGAGTTTGTTAGTTTGTATACGCTGGCCTCGGGCACTAATGGTCGGATTTAAATAAATTATTGTTCTGTTCGGTAATGCTTTTATTAAGGATGGCTGTAGGCCATAAAACATCACACTGCCATCTAAAGCAGCCGAGCAGAGCGGGGACACCGCGCGGGAGTAGCTAGTTAATAATACAAAATGTAACAGTCTAAAATATATTGATGACAATATTGTTAAATATTAAGTAATAATTATCCAAGTAATCATAAACTTATTTATTAAAAACTAAAAATACTTATTAAAAATAATTAGCGCAGGTATTATTATTATAACAACTATCGATCTAAGAATTATACATAACAAATTAACTATCTAAATTCTAAAGTATTCACTAAAGAAATTTCCAAACAGACAGAAGTATTGAGAAGGTCTATTGTTCCACACGTGTTGTTGGTGGTACAGGAGAACCATGAAAATTGAAATAAAGTTTATGCGTTCTCATGATAAAAAGTGGTATAGGTAGCATACCTATGTAAGATATGTCTAAGTAATCATATACCTAACTCTTTGACAAATTTTAGCAGGTTTTGCGTAACAGAGCTACACACATTAACATACATCCGCAATCCCTACCCTGAATACCAGGATATTCACAAACTGGAATTTCAGTTGGCCGTTACAATGCAGCGAACTCCTTGCGGGTGATCTGCATAAACTCCTGCGCCGCCTCGTTCAGGTCTCTGTCGCCGAGTGTGGCTTCCATGTCGCTGACGGAGTGCACCGGGCTGCCCTCCGCCTGCCGCTGCTTCAGCCGGATCTCGCGCAGGCGCGCCTCCAGGATGCGCTCGCGCTTGCTCTCCCGCTCCAACACCTGCACAGACGTACCGTCACACACACACACACACGTGCATACACCCACAAACACACTCGGCGCGCGCACCCACCGCGGTGAGCAGCAGCTTATCGTTCTTGTCACTCGTGGCCAGGTTCTGCGACAGTTCCAGCAAGTAAATGTTCCCCTTCTGACTGCCGCATGTGAGCAGTGAACCCTGCAGGCAAGTGGTACATTTATGTATGCAATAAGGCCCGATCCCCAATAAGGCCCACGTTTGAAAACTAGCTGCGAATGTAGAATCGATTTTTATTTTCCAATAGCGAGCCCGTCGTGCAATATATAATCTCTGAGGGAACTATTTAAGACGATAATAATGTCTTCACAGGCCTTCTCAATTCATATACCTACGAGCCTACGGGAATATTATATGCGATAGAAAACAGAAGAGGTCGACATAACTTTAATACGAGAGGTAAAATAAAAGTACCTAAGCTATACCGCAGTTCCGATTGTTCAAAGTGCAGAAATCTTTGATTTTGTGTTACATGTTATACATAATAAATTAAGTCAAAGTCAAAGCAAGTTATACAGGGTGTCCCTGAAGTAGGCGATCAAATGGGACCGGGTGATAGGCAAGGTTTTAAGAGTTATCAGAAAAATATTGTGGGGTAATTTAGCCACTGAAATCTATCGTCTAGTGTGATACCTAGAAATACTGTTACTAACTAAAAATAAAAAACACCCCAGTCCTACTTCTGATATTCGAGCCGGAGCCCAGGCAACCAGTTAAGTCCTCTGCCGCTTTGCATCGGGCATCTGTCGTGGTCTGATGGCTCTTTCAAGGTGCACGCGAAATGTGACGCTGCGTACGCGGGGTCTCATTCTGGTTCTGATCAGACGGCGGCCTACTTGATTGTGTTCGCAGACCCGTGCTTACGGTGGCCGAAGATCGTCTCGCTGTACCCGACGCCCGGAGACACTCCCGCGATGGCTGGGGCGTGAGGAGATTCGTTTCTTTACAGACCCCGCCTCCTCAGCTAGTATGACTACCTCGGAAAAGGCATCGGCATCGGCAGACGGCGTCTCAGCTTCCCTCGCTCCGCGCCATGGTCAGAACCAGAGCCGAGCGGGAGGTCGCCGTCACCGACTAAGTACTTCACTGAGGACACTTTGGTACTCAGCCCAAGCAGGGCACTGGCACACATGTCCCGGTCCTCTCAGTAATGACACTCGGGTGTTTCCTTCCGCCCTTTAAAAAATAGGTACCTCCCGAAACACACTTTTCTGTAATTTTGACCTAAGTTTACAATTTTTTTTTTTTTTTATATTTGATGGGGCGACGTTTGACCACTATCTCACCTGATGGTAAGCGATGATGCGGTCTACGATGGAGCACGTCGTCCCATAAGCAACCTATTCACTCGGGCCTTGAAGACTCCCACGTTATACCCTTCAGGAAATACAGACTCTGGCAAAGAATTCCACTCTTTAGCAGTACGCACAAGGAAGCTTGAAGCGAAGCGCTTCGTTCGTGTGGGCGGAACATCTACCATGAATCGATAAAGAAAATAAAACAATTTCATTTGATTTGAATATAAACTTCTATGTTCGGTGAGCACCTGCGTCAGGCGGAGACAGCAGCGTTCAGCGCGTGTCAGCAGCAGACGGAGGCACTCTCAGTTCTCAGTTTGACCTGTATGTATATATATATATATGTATATATGTATGTTTGTGCGCGATTATCTCACGATGGGCTGAACTGATTTGATGCGTATTTGACATCGTAGGCTGCGCGACATTGCAGCGACGGCGCACGTTGCTCATGACGAAGAACCGCTCTGTGGTTTGAAACTAGTTGTTCAAACATGAACATGCCATGTCAGCGAGCTAACCCTACGTGATACAGTACTGACCAGAAACATATTAATTCCGGAATACAACTAAGGAAAACATCACGTACTCACGTAAGGATAGAGCGCTGAGATGGTACATTACACGCATAGCACACAATCATAGTGCGGTATGTGTGTACATAGGATAAGTTTAGTATATAAGATCATGTAGAATAAGAAATAAATCAGTCATTAGTTGATTCCGACTTTGACTCACTACCTTTCTTCCACCTCTCACTGTGGCCAAGACACCTTTAGCCATCAACCGATCTGTCGTGTGAGCCTGCTGGACAGGCAGTGAGAAAACCATCTCCACCATACCCCATTCCTACCCACATTCCTTCTGCCATCACAGGTCTCAGGTGGCAGATATCCAGCACCTATCTATATAAGTATATATAAATACGTATGGTAGGGCTAGGGTCTAGGGACTGTAGGGCTAGGGCATTAGGCGCGTACGAAGCGTAGGTCTGTATCACAGCATACCAACGTGTGCCACGATAGTACGTGCCTTAGGTTAGGGCCTAGTAGTAGGTGCGTAGAAGTGCTGGTCTGTATCCCAGTATACCACGGAGCACCACGCCTATACGCATTGTACGCTAGGCAATTATAGGATAGGATTTAGACTACATAGGTAATTAGGATTAAGGTGGTTAATTATGGTTATAGGATAGGTTATTATAAGTGTTAGATTAGCTAGGATAGTATAGGATAACGTTAGCTAGTAGTCATTAGGATTAGGTAATCCTGTGCAGTAGGATTGTGGCGTAAAGCTACTACCCCGCTGTACACTAGTAGAGCTTTTCTCATTACATTCACCGAGTAACCCGCAATTTGTAGTTGATTTGACGCAGTTTTCAGAAAAGTGTTTGTTACACTTAGGAGAAGGTTTTAGTATATTAAATAACCGACTTAAAAAAATGTTCGGGACAGAATTTGATGAGCTTTGGCACAGTGAACCATAACTGTCATACCTTTCAAACAGTAGTAGTTAGAACTGTGTGACAGACGTGGGTGCGTCGCCCATACATTTTTGCCCTTACTTTACTTTACTATCCTTTCTAGTTTAGGTACTAATTGAAGTAAAAATCTTAAATTTTAAATACAATAATTAATATCTCAATTTCAGTGCAGTATGTAGTGACCGGTAAAATAGGCCTAAAGCCGTGGCCGTCACCCCATCATCACGGGTACGGCACCCCCGCCGTAAAACGGTACGGCGCCGCGCCGTGGTACGATATGACGTCGTGCCGTGGACGCGCCGCTGCCGATGTGCCGCCAGTCGGTATTTCGTAAGCCTGCGCGCAAGTGCTTGTCTGGATATGGATCGAGTTCTTCTCTTGTTGTTGTTAAGACGATGAATTAAAAAAAAGGAATGAAGCAAGTAAATATGAAGCACTTAAAATATGTGGGGGTAAGATATTTTTGATTATTTTAGAATTACTATTGTAGATTTGAAGATTTTTTCACTTTTTGTATCGTCCGCGGCGCCGTCCTCGACACCGTGCTGCGTGCACGCCTCGTGTCGTATCACGGCGCAGCGCCGTAACCGTTTTACAGATACACGCCGTACCCGTGGTGATTGGACCACGCTCTTAGTGTTGTAAAACCAATTTTTCTTTTTAGCTTCGTTATTTCAATTTGGCCAGCAGATTTATAAAGATACTGACTGCATCGTGTGAGCGCACCGTCACCAGCGGTTCCTCGCACACCTGCATGGTGAGCACGGGCTCATGCTGGCGCCGCAGCAAGTCCCAGATAGAAAGGTTGCCGTCGTACTGGGTCAACAGCATCAGCGACACCCGCGTGGGGCTCCAGGTGCCGTTAGTGATCCGGTGGCGCGCAGGCGGCGTCCACAACACAGAGGACTCGCGGCACTCTTCACTCCACACGCGCGCCGTCCAGTCGCCGACTGTCAGGAAGTTCTTCAGGAAGCCAGGGTTGCGCTCCACCCGCCACACTGGCCCCACGTGCGCATCAAACTGAAACAAATAGGTAGTTCAAATATCTCGCAGTGGCCAGAAACGGACTGATGACGATGAAGGTCGTATATGTGCAAAGTGCTGACAATAGTTCCAGGTGAAGAGTTAAATATCCAGCACTAAAATTTTCTCCTGTATCGTGCGTTCGTCTACAAATATGCAAATTACATCTAGACCCGAAATAACGATTTGTGAATTACACACAGAGCTGTACCGTACGGCAATTGAACCCACAACTCATTGCGCAGCAGTTGGTTGCCATTCCACTGTGACAACCATGCAGTTTTGTAACTGGAGAAGCGTGTCTGAGTGCACTTTGGGAGAATTTGACATAATCCAGTATTGTACGGACACGCGATAATGAATGATATTATTATAATTATGGCAGGGTATTTGGCGCGTAGACTGACATATATATTTTTTTTCAGTAAGCTGATCGTTCACTGCAAATTATTGGACCGTTTTTTGTGAACTGACACTCTTCTAGACATTATACAATCAAAGGTTCAAAATAGCTTTTAGTTTTTTTTAATAATTAACTTAGAAGTTGAACATTTTGTGACGTGCGAATGAAAAATTAAACTGTAGAAGCTTGTAAGATTCTTTTTAAATCATTTATATCAAACAAAAATGTGTTTAGATTAAATAACCGCAGGAGTATACAACAAAATTTATTTTGTACCACTAGACGTACAGACAGAAAAGTTATTAAGTTAAAGTTAAAGTTTGATTCCTAATAACTTCCCATTTTCATTCAAACGGATCCAATTCCCAGTAAGCCAACGCTATGCAATGACCATCAACAACGCGCAAGGACAAACGCTAAAAGTTTCAGGTTTGGATTTAACAGTTAGCTGGTTTTCGCACGATCAGCTTAAGGTAGCTTTGTCGCGCGTGAGCGATCCCAGAAACTGATATGCTTTGATTCCAGAAGGCAATATAACTAATGTTATGTACAGAGAAGCACTGTTGTAATTTCTATCCTTATTGATATCCACTTCCATACCCACAACCAAGATACTTATGTACAGATTTGACTTCTCTACAGATTTATTATAAGTAATAGAAGATTGCCTGGAAGTTACGTTTTGTTGAGGCTGCCTCGTTGGCCGAGTGGTCGCAAGTGCGACTACCGGGCAGGGGTCTCGGGTTCGATTCCCGGGTCGGGCAAAGTAGGTATTACTGGGGTTTTTAAAAATTCTCAGTGGTAGCACGGAGTCTGGAACTGTGCCCGGTATATGGCAATAGGCTCACCCCCTATTACATGGGACTCATAACATAAATAGTGAAAAGTGGGTGTTACATTGTGCAGTGGCATAATGTGCACCTCTGCCTACCCCTTCGGAGATAAAAGGCGTGATGTTATGTGTTGTTACGTTTTGTGTCGCGCTGAAAATCAATTATTAATCGGTTTTTGAGTCGTTTTAATCTGTTGCTGTAAGTTTTCCTCAAAATTCTGTGTTTATTTTATTTCAATCCAATGCTGTAAATGCGAAAGTAACTCTGTCTGTCTGTCTCTCCTTCACGCCTAAACCACTTACTGAACCGATTTGGATGAAATTTGGTCCAGACATATTTTGAAACTCGACAAAGGACATAAAGGATAGTTTTTATCCCGGGAGTCCCACGGGAGCGAAAATGTCCCGAAAATCTATGTGGGTAAAACCAAAAATCTGCTAGAAGCCCCTATTCCACACAGACGAAGTCGCGGGCAGAAGCTACATGAAATAAAATAATAAGTAAAGAAAAATATAATTAAATAATACACATGACAGAATGCAATGCAGAATGCAGAATAGGGAAAGGACACAGTTTACTTGTGTTTTGCATTATTAATACACTAAATGAGTTTGAGTTAAATAATAAATAAATTGCATAATATTAATTACAGCTTCAACTTCTGCGAAGTTAAAATGAAACTTTTGAGATTGTATCTAAAGCTATACTTGGCGAGTCTCTGATAGGTGGAGGTATGTTATTCCAACAATTTTGACGCTGCGTGCCGAAATGCTGCTGTTTTGTGTTGAGGTATAGCTAGATGCTGTGCACACTGCCTAGCCTCCCGCTTTGGATGACCACCAACCCAGTTAATTTTGAGTGCAAGTACAAAGGACACTTAATTTTGATTACGCCAAAAAGAAGACAAGCTAGGTGGAGCTTGCGACGTGACTTCATTTTTAGTAGGTTGTGTTTGTTAAGGTAAGGTGGAACGTGTCCTCTCGGTGATATCTTCAAGCAAAACTTGCATGACAAAACTACACTTCCGGACACTTGAATCGAGCCACCTTGTTCTTTTGGTTTGGAGTACTGTAACTTGTAAACAATCTATGTAGAAGGAAAATGTTTTGATGCAGTTTTGGAGCTGGTTTAATCAACATTCATTTAGAGTGCCACTGTTCTAAATTTGAACTACAGTTTATTAAAAAAGTCGAGTTACGTTGAAACAAGTCCATATTTGCTTTTTTCGAAGAAAAAAATCTAATCAATTTTTAAATAAAAAATGTTTTAAATGAAAAGAAATGTTTATTTAGTAACTTGTATTGCCTCCCCGTGCATTTATGACAGCTCCCATACGGTTTGGCATAGAATTAATCAATGTCGTTATGACATGTTGAGGATTGTCCTCCCATTCTCCCAAAATTACATTTTTGAGCTCCTCCGTGGTTTGCGGGGCAGGATGATGAGCTCGAACACGCCTCTTCAGCTCATTCCATAGATGCTCTATAGGATTCATATCAGGACTTCGCGCTGCCATCTCATAACAGTGACACCAATGTCATTTAAGTACTGCCTGACGATTCCCGCAGTATGGGCCCTTGCATTATCATGCATTAAAACGAAATCTTGGCCAATAATCCAGCATATGGCATCACGTGGTTCTCTAAACATTGGCGAATGTATCTATTGCTATCTAGGGGCGGCAGTCGTGGTCCCGTTACTACCTCTAGCTCAGTTTTGCCTTCCATAGAGATTCCTCCCCAGACAGTCCATGATCCTCCACCATAACTCACTCTTTCGTCAATACAACATTGCGCGAAACGCTCGTTCTCTCTTCGGTACACCTTACTCCTTCCGTCATTACCGTATAGCATTATCTTGGACTCATCTGTGAAGAGAACCTGGCTCCATTGATGTCGAGTCCAATTTAGATGTTCGCGCGCAAACTCTAAACGGGCTATTCAGTGTGCTCGTGTCAATTTGTGTCCATTGGCTGGCTTATGGGGCTTTAAACCACGTTACTTGAGTCGCCTTCTAACGGTCCGAACACTTACAGCCACTCCGTGAAAGTCCCTGAGCTGTTCTTGTATTTGAACAGAGGTAAGGCATCGATTGCGTAAGCTGGTAGTGACAGTGTATTGATCTTGTCTCGCCGTTGGCACCCGGTAACGAGGTCCTCCTGTTCGCGAACGAAGCCGCCAGTCTCCAGGTATCGATGGTACACTCTTTGGACAGCGGAACGACTTATGAGAAGTTGTGAACTCACATCTCGCTGACTTAGCCCAGATTGAAAAAGTGCTACAGCTTGCGCGGCTACTTCAGGTGAAGTATCCATAATTTTATAGCCAAAACCGATTCAAATTAAAGAAAAAAAACTAAACTAAACTTTGGGTAACAAAAATAGCGAAAATTCAAACAAAATCGAAATTAAATTGCTTCAAAAGTAACTTTCTACAGCCATTATTTTTTTCAAATCAGTGACCAAACTCGGCTTTTGTTCATTATTTTAAAATCTTAAATTCAAATTTGGAAGAATACATACGGGAAAGACGATGAAATATGCCAGCATCAAAAATGCATAAAAACTTTTTTGTTATATTGCATATATTTTGTGTAATGGGCTTTAGGCCCGGGAATGTAATGTGGCTCGATTCAAGTGTCCGGAAGTGCATTTATGAAGAAGCTGTTGATGAAATTTCAGGAAATGTAAGTGAAGGTACCTACTTAAAGTGTTTATTTGTTGGTAATGTAGTGCAAATAACTGTAAGTTTACACGCAAATTATTTTTATCTGGTCTATTTGTCTAATTTTTAATAGTCGCTTGTTTTACAAATTGTAGCAAATCAATGAGTACAGATTTGGAGCAAATGTGAATCGTGATGGACATACCTTTGCTGGCAACTTGTCCATTGCAGACTTTCCCTTGCGGTTGCCATTTATGACAAGTCCATTCTCGGTGCCGACCATGAAGCGCGTCGGTAGTGTAGATTCGTACTCGAGCGCACTCACGCCGTTGGAATTGGCCATGGTTTGAACGTCGTTTTGAGTTTTGACCAAGTCGATGATCATTTCATCGGTAGGTTCCTCAATTTTGCGAATATCCCACCACTTGACGGCACCGTCTGGCCCGCCTGAAAAGAACTCTAAGCCACTCTTAGAGTTGATGAACAAGACGTTTCTGACGAAGTCGCGGTGCGCCACGTGCGGCGGACTCGCTGCTGTTGGCTTGTCTCCCTTGACCCGCAAGTCCCACGCAGCCACTCCGCCGTTCATCAGGCCACCCGCTAGCACGTGCGAATCCTTCGGATTGTACTGCAAGTCTAACATTGGACACGGTGGAGTTATAGTCGTTTCTGGACTGTTTGGGTTGTCCACGTCCCAAATGTATGCTTCAAGGGGAGCGTGTGTTTGACGATTGAAGTCGACGTCCACGTACGTAGCGGCGAAGCGCGATCCGCCGTCAGGCAGCCAGCAAATAGAACTGATTGGCCGGCAAGGACTAGAGGGTTTAGAGCCCGACCGTCCACCTTGGCGGCGCCTGCGCTGTCGCGGTACACGTTCACCGTGCGGCAACCGCTTTGCTCTATTGCCGGCATGTTCGCTAGCTCTGCGTAATAAGTTTGGTACATTTCAATTGCATTGTTCTGCAAAACTAGTTTCTCTAATCCCTGTAAAAGGTTAATCGACAGTAAAGCCGCTGAGTACTAAGGCTACGGCCGCATATAATATAGGCGGGTGGCGTCTTAGTACCTAGAGCTTAGTGAATAGAGTAGTAAAACGAACGTTGTAGCATGCTCGCGACAGGCCGCACTGCGCGCTCGGCAATACAATGTTTCTTTAAAGAGGATCACCTCTCCGTGCGGCCTCCGTGTATTCATATTTACAACCTAGTCGCTAGGTGACTCACTACGCTCTCTATGCACTAAGTTCCTACTTGTGCGGACGTAACCTTTTAAGAAAATCGTAGCAGTAAGGCCTTCACCTGACTTACCGGTGAAAGTGCCATGATGCAGTGAATATAACTATCGTCCTTCTCAATCTTACGGCGGTACCTCTGCGTGGCTTCAGGATCGTGTACGTTAACATCTTTGGGCCACCCGCCTTCGGCATGGTTGGCGCCACTGGTGGCGTACTCAGCGCTGCAACAGGCGGCGAGTGAGTGCGCGCCGCGCCACTCGCTCGGGGCGCTGGCGCTGCGGCACTTACCGGATGGTGTTGATCTCGCACTGCGAGAAGCGCGGCGTGTGCTGCGTGAGCTCGTGCACGGGGTTGCGCAGGATGTACAGCTTGTGCTCGATTTTGTTGACGCCGATACTGTCACACATGTCTGTCTTCCCTATGGTGAACTGCAGCTGACGGCCGAAGTCACTTCGTTTTTTAGTATATACATATGATAGAGCCATAATACACAGCAAATATTAATTAATAAGTATCACAAATAATATTGACAATAGTTGTGGGGATTTCAAATTGACGCAAAATATTTAGACATAAATAAATAGCAAATGTGGAGACATTTGATGATAACAATCAAATGACAATGATGAAATGATTTAAACCAAAGATATCGTCCATTAAACTCTTTGCCGTAAATGTTTGACAAATAAGTGTTTTTTTTTTTAAGAGGGGAAAATCGTCGAATGACTGCTCCCGCCTGGGTGAGACGGAAGGGGGTGTCAGACTCTTACTGACTAAAAACCACCCCGTTCCTTCTCCTGCACGTCGAGCCGGAGCCCCGGTTACCCGTTAGGTTCTCCGCGACTCCGAATCGGCATCGGCCCTATTGAGCCCCATCTGTGGTGGTCTGATGGCTCTTTGAGGCGCGCGCGGAACGCGACGCGCAGTACGCTCGGGTCTGTTTCTGGTCGGACGGGGAGCCACCCATGCTCGCCGTCCGCAGGCCCGTGACAAATAAGTGTAGAGTTAGGTGCTGGTACCGGGTACCGGTCACCGGTCGGTAAGATCGGCCAACTTTGTCTCTGGAGGGCAACTTCGGTTCTAATAAATATAGAGTAAGCAGTATTCGATTTAAATCAAGCGTTAATCGATTGATATTTGATGATTTTGCCGAGTAACTTAGTAGTTATTCTTATTACATTATTGACTTTTACATCGGAAGTAAGATCTGCCAAATTTTCAGCGGAACACAAGTTTATGGCGAGTTTCAACTAATGTTTGATCTAATTTTTCATCATCATCATCAACAGCCTATAACTGCCCACTGCTGAGCAAAGGCCTCTTCTCACACGGAGAAGGTTTGAGAATTAATCACCACGCTTGCTCAATGCGGGTTGCCGGTTACAAACTTATAATTAGAATTTATAAGCCCAGGTTTCCTCACGATGTTTTCCTTCACCGTCTGTCAGTGGTGTCTGAATAATCTTAGAAAGTACATATAACTCGGAAAAAGTCACATTGGTACTTGCCGTTGCTAGCCTCATGCATGAGAAGCGGGCGTCTTAAACCTCCGAGCCACCACGACGTCATTGACGATCTAATTTTTACCGACTTCAAAAAAAAGGAGAAGGTGCTATGTTCGGCTGATTGCTTTTTTTTGTTTGTTCATCAATTACTCCGCCATTTGTGAATTCCAAAATTCTTGTTTTGATTGAAAGGGTATACTCCCGAGATGGTTCCATTTCCATGAAGTCAGGATCAGATGATGGCATCCGAGAAATTTCGAAAATTGTTTGGGCGAGTAATGCGTCTATTATGTTTTTCAATTAGAATTTTTGATCACTACAATTTGATAAGAGTCTGGAGTCGACCTGATGATGGAGCCGACAGACAGTCGAGGGAACTCCTCAGCGGTTTATATTAAGTACCTTGTGTTTGGGCTTGATTAATTTGTATTGATGAGAACTTTACATCTAGATAGAGTGGGACTGTCATTAAGGGTCTGATGACGAAGAAGTGTAATTGTTAAGGGAACTCCTCAACGGTATAAAGTAACTACCTTGTGTTTGGGCTTGATTAATTTGTATTGATGAGAACTTTATACCTAGATAGAGAGGGGCTGTCATTAAGGGTCTGATGATGAAGAAGAATGTAATTGTGAAGGGAACTCTTATATAATTTGTATTTATTAGAATTTTGCACCTATGAAGATTATAAGTGACAAACGGAGCTATGTAGCTTTACACTAAAAGTGATAAAATAATAAAATAAAAACTGTGTTTAATAAAAACCGAGACATTATTAGTACTGATAGGTTTTTACTCAAAAAAAGGATGTCAATTCCGTTGAACTCACCGTTGTAAGTCTCAACCATGCGATGGAGAGGCGAACGTGAGCCAGCATTGGACTGCAATAGTTAGTGGCAAACAAACAAATTTATTATTTTATCATTACATATGTATATACCTATTTTTGAGAAAATTATATATGATAAAATGTAAGTTAAAATATAAGTGTGAGGATACTTCCGCCAGTAGATTCGCGGAACATGAGCTTAAGAGCCAATGGTAATATTTACACGATCGATCTCCACACTCAATCACTGTGTGAGTGAGTGTCTACATTCACTCAATGTGAGAGAGTCATGCTTTGGTACGGATGGGCCGGCTGTACCGGAGTGACACCACGGTCTCATAAAAACCGTTGTGTTTCATCGTGTGAGCGAGGGTTCCAGAGGTGCAATTACTCCCCCCCCTTCCCCAATCTACTCAATCCCTGAATCCTCAACAATCCTCCTCTTATCTCCAAAAGGCCCGTAACACTCTTGGAACGCCTTTGCTGTATCAGGTGTCTATGGGCGATGCCGATTGCTTACTATTGCCCGACGCCCGGTGTGTCCTTCGCGGTGGCTGGGTTGCGAGGAGGCAGTGCTTCGCTGCCTCACGCGTCCCGCCTCCTCCTTAGCTAGCATAACTACTTCGCAAAAGGAGGAGATGGCATCCCAGTCCCCTTCGCTCCGCATCATGGCCCGCACTAGGCTCGGACGCGAGAGGTCGCCATCGCCGATCACTTCCCTGAGGGCACGGCGGTGCTCAGCCCATGCAGGGCATTCCGCTACAGTGTGTTCCACCATGTCCTCAGGGTGGTCCTCGCAGTGATGACACCCGGGCGTTTCCTCCCGCCCCATCAGACACAGGTACCTCCCGAAACTTCCATGTCCGGTGAGGACCTGTGTCAGGCGGTAGGTGAGGACGCCGTAGCGTCTCTCAAGCCACTCCTCAAAGAGGGGACTTACCGCTGCGATGGCAGCGAGCACAATCGGCTTGTCCCATAAAAAAACACTCTAAGAATGTCACGTGGGTGCGTTACCCAAGGGCGTCAACAAAAGAAATAATAATGAGCGGACACGAAGGTAGTAGTGCCGTGCGTGTGACAAACATACTCCAAAGAGTTTACTATTAAGTATACATACACTGTGCTCGTTACAGTTGACGGCTGTCACGGTGACAACTGACAAGTGAGCAAGCCTAACGCCAAAGAGTATAGTAAGATAGTAGTAATAGACTCTCGTGCTGGTGCTGCAGTGTTGTGCAGGCCCGTGAAGGGCCGCCCGCGCCCCGCGCGCTATGAGGCGGTTCCCGTTATTCCGGCTGGCCACGCTACTAGCTCGCCAGCTCAGTGCGCCTGTTGCTAAGAAGATTAAGGTAGACAATTGTTTACGTTGGTGTAATATGTGAGATACTGTGAATGATCATATCGACAACCATCTCTCTCTTTCTGACAGTAAATACATTATAGTAATGTTGACATCGTTATATTCGTCCTTTATGAAGTATGCAACAGGCAGCACTTTTCCCCATACTTATATTATACTCTTTGGGCAGCACGCTTGCGTCGCCGAGACACATGTAGTGAGATATTAGATTAGTTTTAAATGCTTACCAGTGTCTCACGACAATACCACATCAATTTATTTGTAAAAGCTCATCTTTGTTGGGTCATACCAGGAATCAAACCTGATAGTTACTTAGAGAAGGAAGGTGAAGTAGCCTTATCTATAGAGGTACATATAATAAAACTGTAGAAGTGTTTATTCTATTCATTGAAAATATTAAAAAAAATAATATTGTTCACGCATCACGCAGAAACTACCGGTTCGATTAGGACGAAACTTACTTGGTAGGATTATATTTTAATATCCTGGCCATCACACAATATAACAAAGTTAATTGTGCGGCTAGATCACTAGATGCAGTACTGCAGCACTACTGTACTAAGCGAAAATGTAAGTTTCTTGAAAGCTAGGTGGCCGGCAGTGGACTTTACGCTGTAATTATAAGGTCGAAGATTGAAATTAGCTTGAAACGCTATTATAAATGCGATACTATGTGAGTTTGTGTGTGTATGTGCATGTTTGTGTGTGTATGTGCATGTTTGTTACTTAGTCACATTTAAACGGCTGAAGGGACCGGGGTGAAATGAAATTTGGAACAGAGTTAGATTACGGTCGACTGCAACACATGCTACTTTCTGCCGCTGGGAACGCGGGTGAAGCCGCTGGCAGAAGCTAGAACATAATGATGTCGATTAATACCCTAAAACAGGCTCTCAAGTGTAACAAGCACTTTTCTGAAAAGTGCATGTAAATCGTACTAGCCAATCGCGACATAACCGCGAACAGAGATCAGACTGAAACCTCTTTGTTTGGTTTACAAATCCCGGTTTTAGAAAGAATTCATTGTATTTTTATTAAATAATTCGACATGATGAAATACAGCATACATAATAAATGAAGTAGTTACGTGGTGCGTGCGCAGGCGGTGGCGGTGAACTACCCGTGGTTCCAGCGGCACGTGTGCGCGCGCACGGGCCGCATGTTCCACGCCTACCAGCTGCGGCTGCGGCTGTGGACGCTAGCGCTGCGCCAGCCGCGCCACCTGCCGCCCATCTCCGACCGCGTTGCGCTCGAGTCGGGCGCCAGCATCCTCGGTAACTACCAACAATGTCACTTTAATTTATCAAAGATGAGCAGATTCATAAGTGGTGTCGTTCCTTGTCAGGTGAAGCGATAATATTCGGCGTGGGTGGGCTTATTATCATGTTCGAAGTAAACCGACAAGCGAATAAGCAAGAGGATAAGGTATTTCGTTTAATAACTAGTTTCTTGAGGATGGTCTCGTGGAATCTCTAAGGTACTCCTGAGTTGAGCTCGTTCGGTTGATGATATGCCACCGACTCCACTCAGTGCTGGTGGCTGGCAGCACGCACGATGCGCCATTGTTTTATGTACGTTTAAGTAAACAACTACAAGTCAGTAGGTACTGGTGTCAAGCAACACTCCCGGCCTCACATACACGGCTAGTTCAGCCTCAGCTCAGGCATTATCCTAATGATTCCGTAAGTATTAGGGGGTATTGATTGTCTCATAACTGAATTAGTAATTTTAAAGTAGACTAAACATTTATTTATATTTTTTACACTTAAAACATCCGTGATCTGCTTGTCAGCTTCCGGTTTAGAAAATCTTTAATGTTACTTATTCCCGTTCCAGTATTTTTAAATAATAATTGTGCACAAATAGAGAAACACTGTCAAGTTGTTTTGTATAAATACCGCCCTTTATACATATATTGGGATTAATTCTGATTGTGACCGCAACACAAACATAAAGGTGGCAATTAAATCTTTATATCCTGTAGCGAGTAAGCAAGTCCACTCGCACGATGCAACGCAGCACTGGATCATACGATATGACGTCAGAGCGGGCCGTGTGCAAAAACCGGTTGCACAGACCCGCCCACTTCTCGCCGGTAGCCACACCTTTTAGACATGGCGCCTGCGCATCCTTTTGTGCGAGTACTGATGACGACAAGATGGCCGCGCAGTACCTATTGTCTACACTATCGAGGGGGCGTTGACCTCTCGCACGAAACGGTCAAGCGCGAACCGTTATTATTATTATTTAACTTTTGTAATCTATATAAATATGTGTGTATTTCTGTATAATTATTCATTCTCGTTTCTTACCTCCTTGGAGCAAGTAAACGCTGTTACTTTCGCTTTGCTTTTTATTGCTACTGCTTGATACCAAACCGCTTCAACCTCTGCATACGCTATTATTGCAAGTAGTACTATATATTTATTTATTATAACGGAGTACAGTACTACTTCATCCAACAACTGAGTGTTCATTGCTGCCGACTCACCTTCTGCAATACTTCAATACCGTTTCGTAACAGGTGGGCCTTATAATGAACATGGACCAAACGAACATCATGTCGAAGGTCCCTAGGGCACACTATACAGGTAGGCAGGTCCAACTTCAAGCAAGATGTCACCCGAACAATCCAACTCGGATGGGCAACGTCCGTTACGTGAAATCATCTCATCAAAAATCCCGCAGTGTCCGAAGACCAGGATGTACAACCAGTGTGTATTGCCAGTGGTTCCTCAAACATGATCCGTAATTTATAGCCTATAAGAGAGACTCTGAGTGTTCCAGCAAGAGATGGAGAGAGTCATATTCGGAGATTTTTGCGCGACAAAATCCGTTATGTGGAGATTCACAGCAAAATGATTGAGCAGGCTACATCGTTGGGAGAATTGATTGCCGATGGGCCAGGAAAGTAGTCGAGTGGCGATCGCGGATCTGAAGAAGCAGTGTGGATGCGTTCCACTGGGTACACCGACGATATCTTAAGAATCATCGGGAGCCAATGGGTCCAAGTGGTGAGGTGTCTTTCGACGTGGAGGACTGAGGGGAGGTCTTTGTTCAGCAGTCGACGTCTTCCGGCTGATGATGAACTAAACAATTCCTAAATAATGCATTAACTAGTATATTTAATAATTACGTAAGTTTATGTATTACTAAATACTGCCCGCGACTTCGTTCGCGTGGAATAGTTACTTCTGGCAGAGTTTTGGTTTTACCCACATAGATCCCGATCTCGTGGGAATTTCAGAAAGTACTCGCTCTTACTAAAACTAAAAAATACTATGTCCTTTCTTGAGTTTCAAACTATATCTTTACCAAATTTCATCCAAATTGGCTCAGTAGTTTAGGTGTGAAAGAGAGACAGACAGACAGACAGAGTTACTTTTGCATTTATAGCATTGGATTGAAATAAAACAACTCAAAAACCGATTACTTGTTGATTTTCAGCGCACCACAAAACGTAAGTTCCTGGAAATCTTCTTCTGTTACTTATAATAAATCTGTAAATAGGTCAAATATGAGTTCCAAGCACGAATAATTATTTATTTATTTATTTATTTATTTATTTATTTATTTATTACACCCTGGAGGACTTACAGCTAAAACTACATAAAAATAGAGGTGAACATAAACTACTGAAAGCCAATTACAAGTCCTCACGTATAGTGACAGACTTAAATTTGATAGGTGAGCATATCACAATTTTCGCAGTGGTTACAGCTTATTAAAATTGTACAGTTTATTATACCAGTTAATTGCAAGGATCAACTAGAAACTAGTATTAACTAGAAACTTTTAGTTACAAGAATAAGTGAAAGATAAAAATAATATAAACATTTCCGAAAACTAGGGATACAATTGAGATGCTACTTAAAAAACCTGAGGCTTATGCGCCTTCTGGCCGACGCCACGCTAGTCGCAAAGGGATCAAAGTCATACTGCTTACATATATTATTGAACTGTCTACCCGCTCGTATAATAAAACTATTCTGTCTGTAATTTGTTGATGCTAGAGGCACACGTAAGGGTGGGTTATTGCGGAATATTTTTTGTGGTACATTAAAGTGAAATTTAGATAGAAGTTCGGGGCTGTCAATATTGTTATTTAAGATTTTTAATACGTACAAAAAGTCGGCAATCTCACGTCGATCTTTGAGAGGTAATAAATGATATTTCTTACAGAGTCGAAGATAATCGACAGGGTGATATGGAATTTTTTGATGAAAACAGAGATATTTAATGAAACGTCTTTGGATGTTTTCTATGCGGTCGATGTACTTATGGTAACGTGGGTTCCATATCTGAGACGCATACTCAAGCTGACTTCTAACAAAGGTGCAATACAAAATTTTTAGTGTTTTGGCGTTATTAAAGCACTTAGAGAGACGCATAATAAACCCAAGCAATTTAGTGGCTTTTTTGATAATAGTGTCAACGTGGGTGTCAAAAACTAATTTGCTATCTTGATGAACACCTAAGTCACGGATGGTATCACACCTTGGCAAAGTCTGGCCCGATAAGATGTAGGTGTTGACTAGAGCGGCACGTTTCCTAGTGTAAGTAATTACTGAGCACTTAGATGGATTCAGATCGAGTTTATTAGCCCTACAGTAGACTTCAAGACGATGTAGATCAGCCTGAAGTGCCAATTCATCTTCGACCGATGATATTTTGGCAAAGATTTTCATGTCATCGGCGAAACACAGTAATTTGGATGATCGAAGGCACAGATCGATGTCGTTCACATAGATCACAAATAAGAAGGGCCCAAGTAACGAACCTTGAGGCACTCCGCTAGGCACTGAGACCCAACTAGATATATAATTATTGATCACTACAGCCTGCGATCTATTATTGATATATGAGGAGAACCACCTCAAGAGGTCCCCATGAATACCTATAGAGTTTAGCTTCTTGATCAAAGTGTCGTGATCAATACGATCGAATGCTTTGCTATAATCAGTGTAAACCACATCGACCTGGCTACCATCATCCATAGCTTTAGTAATAAAATCATTAAACAAAATCAGATTAGAAGTTGTAGACCGTCCCCTCAAAAAACCATGCTGGAAGGAGCCAAGCGAAGGTGCAAGAGCAGGGTATAACTGATTATAAATAATACGCTCAAATAATTTAGCAATAATGCACAATTTAGATATGGGCCTATAGTTAGTAACTTCAGTTTTAGACCCCTTCTTATAGACCGGTGTAATAAACGCAGATTTCCACACTCTGGGGACAACACCTTGAGACAAGGATTTGGAAAACAGAATAGAGATAGGTAATGCAATAGAAGTAGCACATTTAATAAGGAATTTAGAAGATATTTTATCAGGACCAGCTCCTTTGGATGGGTCTAAACTGCGGAGTAGGTTGGTCACAACATCAATTTTGATTTCAATGTTGGAAATATTAGAGGGAGATACAGTAGTATTTGAGGAGGAAACAGGGGCTGTATAGGGATAGGCGTTGACTGGGCTCGAGAAAAGTGGAATGGAAATAAGAGGAAAAAGCCTCACAAATAGAATCACCAGTGAGTAATAATTCATTGTTGTATTTTAGTGTACTAGGCATAGCGTTCGAGTTGCAACGATTTTTAACAAATGTCCAAAAATGTTTAGGGTTATTCTTAATAGATGTTTCAGTTTGATTAAGGTAACAGTTATAGCATGAGGCTTCCATAGTCTTGACTCTTTCCCGCAAGTGTTTATAAGATAATTCGTCGGATTTATTACCATAAGTCTTGAATTTTTTAAGATATTTGTATTTTTCCTTGATAGTTCCAATGAGCGATTTACTAAACCAGATGGGGTAACTACTATTACGACAAGCTTATGTGGTATATACTTATTTCGTAATTCCTTTATAGTATCCATAAAGTACGAAACTGAGCCGTCTAGAGATCGAGACGAAAACTGTTGTTCCCAATTCACTGCAAGAATTTCTTTGTTAATAGATACAAAATCGGCTCTGCTATAAACATATCTTAGCCGCGGTGCATGGTCCAAAGAAGGCATTTCAAACAAGTCGATATCAACTAACAAGGCGGGATGATAGGGATCAATAGCGACCAGCGGGTCCAAGCACTCAGTAACACAGGCTAATTTATCTGAGAGGACCAAATCCAACAATTTCCCATACCTATTAGTCACTCCATTGTATTGTTGAAGACCCAGAGTGCATAACTCATCGGCGAGCATACATTCGTCGCTAGTGGTAGGGTTCACTGGGATTAGCGAATTATTAGTGGATGAAGTCCACGAAATTCCACTCATATTAAAGTCACCTACAATAAGAAACACATCGGAAGAATGATTTAAGGTAGTTTGGTTTAATTTAGTAAAAAAATTGTTAAGTTGATTCGAGAACGAAAAACCGTTGTTTTGTTTACATAAATAAACAGCACAAACGTACAGGTTTACGAAATCTCGTGTGTTTGACTTTTTAAATCGTATGCTAATCCAAAGGTCTTCTGCTGAAGAGTGGAGGAACGGTTCCTGGGTAACGGGTAATTCCCTACGCGTCGCGACCAACACACCACCACCACGCGATTGTCCGGTCACAGCACAATCCCGGTCACGGCGCCACACTATATACCGGTCATCAAACAACTCTGAGTTCAACACACCATCGACTAGCCACGTCTCCACCAGAACAATAACATCGTAAGAATTTAATAAAACCTGACGATAGAACGAGTCCGTTTTCGTTCGCAATCCCCGTACGTTCTGGTAGTAAACAGTCAGTCGCTGTTCATTGTTATCAACCATAGTTAAAATGTGCAATAATAACGGCATAAGTTTCACTATAACAAAAAACGACTGGCCAATGCATTACAAAATAAAAATATCTATTAATTACGGAAGACAGAAATAAATATGTGAAAAGTGGGTAAATGTAAATTAAAGTAGCAAAAGTTTGCAAATCATCCGATATTACGTATGACATTACTAAGTGAGCAAGTAAGCAGCAATACATCAGGAGCGTAAGTGCAAGCGAGTCAGATATATAGCTATGAATCAGATCCCCAACACAAACAGCGCGATGTCGAGAACAAAAGAAACCATCAGCGAAGCAGAGGTGCAAAACCTTTTACAAAAAACAATTATTAGACATTGATCGATTTTAAAAGTATAACATAAATTAAAAAATGACATGTTCTTATGTAGCGGTTTATACAATTTTGTTTAAATCCTGTTCTTTCGAACTATAAAGGTTCTACAATTAACGTTTTTGCGTACATGAATTTTGCCATATTTAACCCACACAAATTCATAACGTTTCTCTTTAGCAATGTTTTTGGTTTTACTTAAAAGTTTTTTAGATTCGACGCTTAAGTGGTCATTCACATAAACACGCTGTGGTGCTCCTTGGAAACCTAAATCCGATGTAGATAGGTCCTTATCTGCCCGCGCAGCCGCAACAAAGTCCTCCTTTACATACCTATTGAAAGCTCACTATTACTAATTTCTCCTTAGAGTTTTGTATAGGCACCCTAGAGATGTAATTAATCTGGGCCTTAGGACAATTATGCTTGATTTTCCGGCCGATGGCTTCGACGATTGAGAATAAATTCTCATCCTTCTTGAGGGGCACTCCTTTGATCTCCACGTTATTTAACCGGGACCGCTGATCTTGAGACGTAAACTCGTGCTTTGCTGAGGCTAACTCAGATTGCAGTGAGAGGACTGTGTCCTGGAGCTTATCAAACTCTGACACCTTCGATTCTAGATTGAAAAGTCGAGTGTCGAACTCATCGAGCCTACCACTAGAAAAATCGTGGCATTTTTTGAGATCACTCAGCTCATCTTTGAATGATCTTAAGTCATTGACTAAAGTCGGTAGGTCCAGTAGCTGACGCTTCATTTCACGAATCTCACTCAGCACTGTGTCCAGTGAAGCCGTAGGTTGCGGTGAAAGTAAAGTCGGCGACGACAATCGGCACGCAGGACATTTCCATTGGGCTCTTCTGTCAGCACCCAATTTCCTCCAACCAACTTCGGTCATGCTGGCACAAGAGAAGTCCAGGTACTTTTTGCAGCTCGTACATTGAACTCCATCATTGAATCGCTCATTGCAACTTGCGCACGTTTTCATTGCGAATGAAGTAAATAAAAAATGCTTAACCGAAAACCGAAAAAAGGTTGACAATCTATTATTTGGCGCGTAAAGCGTACTGCGTTAATGCGTGCTCACACGGTACTGAATTATTGCATTCGTATTGTAACAGTATCGAGCAAGTTCGGTGTTTTGATTGGTTGGTTCACTGGAGGCGGCCAATCAGAGCGCCGAACGCGCTCGATACTATTAAGTCACGAATGCGATAGTTATTTGAGTTTGGCATTCTGTACATGAAATATAAAATTATTAAATTACTGTGTCCGCGACTTCGTCCGCTTGGTTGTGGGTATGGAAGTGGATATCAATAAGGATAGAAATTACAACAGTGCTTCTCTGTACATAACATTAGTTGTATTGCCTTCTGGAATCAAAGCATATCAGTTTCTGGGATCGCTCACGCGCGACAAAGCTACCTTAAGCTGATCGTGCGAAAACCAGCTAACTGTTAAATCCAAACCTGAAACTTTTAGCGTTTGTCCTTGCGCGTTGTTGATGGTCATTGCATAGCGTTGGCTTACTGGGAATTGGACCCGTTTGAATGAAAATGGGAAGTTATTAGGAATCAAAGGGATTCGAGGTATGAAAACACTAACTTTCACACTTTTTTGCTGCAAATTGATTACTCTTAACTTGGTACGGTTACAAAGTTCTGGGGGACTAAGATTCCTAAGCAGCATTGTAGGTATAGGTATATCAATCAATTAAAGTAATGTAAGGAAAACAATAAAACTAAGGAAAACTAAAAAGGAAATATAACTTAAGATTTTCGTGATAAAAAATCAAATACAAATAATTGTATATGCAGGTTTTGGCGCAAGAATCGCAGTGGCTGGCATTGTTATTATCCCTCGAGGAGCTGCAGCGTGAGCTGGCACTGCAGCAGCAGGACATCGACCGCCTGCACGCCACCTTGCGCCGCCTCGCGCCCGACCAGTACCCGCGCACTCAGCAGGACTCGGAGTCATCTTCAGACCAGCCAGTGATGCCCTCACCGCCGACATCACAATCTCCACCAATATCTAAGCCTACTGCCGAGCTTGATGCAGAGCGTCCGCCACCGACCACATCAGAAGCCCCTCCGCCCCCGAAATCAGACTGTCCCCCTCCGCTAACGCCAGAATGTCCTCCACCGCCAACATCAGAATGTTCAAATTGAATTGCCTTTAAAGGCGAACCTTACATATTGAACTATCGCTCTATATTAATTGGTTGAAATCAAGTGAATTGCTCTATTGCTAAATTCGTAACGCGTACTTGTTATGCCTGTGATAATTGTATAACATATGGTAATGAGTAATGATATGTTGCACGAAGCTGCATAACAAGGCGCGTGGCAGACGACACTGCAAGCCAGCAGTATATTACTGAAGCGGTAGAAGACTGCGGCCATTCGCGCTGCCGCCATGCTGCAGCCTGCGTCTGCCAGTGCATGGCTGCCAGCGCTGCCGGCGCTGCTGGTGCTGGCGCGGCTGGGAGCGCTCGTGTGTGGACAGGACGCCTGCGCGTACGTTCACTCAGGTACGTCTGATTTACAAGTGATGCATGTGACTAAATAAATGTATTAGTTTAAAACACTCTTTCATTTAGTCATGTTATTACCGCGTCATCAGGAGAAAATAATCTATCTAATGGCTCTATGGTAGCCGCGATGACTGGTCAAGTCAACAGGCTGGCGCCCAAAGTGATGTGGATTCGATTCCCGCATGGAACTTCCATTTTTGTGATTCACAAGTTGTTATTTCGAGTCTGGACGGATGTGTGAGTATGCATAAATTGTATGTTTTTGTAAACGCACCCGCGACAAAGATCAGGTAAACCCGATATAATTATTATGTTCACTAGCTGGCAGTCCAAGGCTCAGCCACCTCCCGGTTCATCAGATCAGGTCAATTGCGCCATAATATTGTATGGTCATCAAATCTGATTATTGCCAAGTTTAATGATGATACTACACTAACAAGTACGTGTATTTCAGATTCATAAATTGTGTTACATAATAGTTCGTATATACATATACAAGTCAACCTGATAAAATAATAATATTATACAAAATCGTGTTAAAATAAATTTAATTTTAGAATTTCTACAATGTACCGCCCTGAGTGGACCTGGTATACCTATTGATTGTCACGTTATGTATGAGCCACCGCCACACCACAAACACTACCCACGCTATGATTACTGACAATGAATTCATTTTACTTCAACAGGATCACAAATGGGAGTGCCTTATCACTTGGCTGTGACATATTTATTTCCCGGAGTGGCTGACTGGAATATTATAGTCCCAGTAAGACATTACCTTTATCTACTTACTGATCTTAGCTGGTCCAATGGGCTCCTAGTGCACTTACTGAATTTGATTTGAAAAATTATATACTTAAACCAGATTTCGTAATAGTTACGTACAACTACAAAGATAAAAACCGTTCCAATAGTCCGGTCCTTCTTTTTACCGACTTCAATTCATCCGAATCCATTACCATTACCATTAGTATGTAATTTATAATGACTGTTGTTGTAGCGGCCCCCGGAGTGCGCGCGCGGTTACGTGGCGGGCCACGAGACGCGGGTGTGCGACCACGACGCGGCGCCGCGCCTGCGCGTCACGCCGCAGGGCGCACTGGTGGAGCGCTCCGGTTGGCTGCGTGGGGTTGCCGCCGTCTACTGCACCGTGTTCTGTGTGTTCCCGCCTCGGCTGCAGTCTCGACTGCCGGAGCTGCCACAGCTGCCCGCAGTGCCAAGCCGGTCCAAGCATGTCACGACGGAGCCCGCGGCGGCGACGACGTCCGCGAAGGCAGTGCTGTCTTCAGCGGAACACCCGAGCGAGTCTAAATCAACAATAGTGGCGATGCTTTCTTCAACATCGTCGTCATCGAGTGAGGAGGACGAATCAGTAGAGGAGAGTGATTGAGAGCAGTACACTCGAACCTAAGAACAGATGAAACGTGCCGGTGGTAGTGACTGCAGCGGAATACGCTGAAGGTGCAGATTTACATTGACATCAAAATTGAGGAGTGTGCCATAATATAATTAGATCATTATGTAATTAGTAATGGTGACGTTTCATATTGGGCCAGCACTAAGTACGGTAACTAATAATAAATTACTCATTGAGATTTATGTTCGACACTTTGACAGTAGTGACAGTAGTGATTGGTGGTATTTGATATCTACACTACTATTACACTAATATTATAAAGAGGAGAGGTATGATTTTCTGTTTGTCAGAATTTAATAGGCTCCCAAACGTCCTAACGGACCGATTTGAAAAATACTTTTACCGTTGGGAATCCTACATTATCCCTGATGAACATAGGTTATATTTAATAAGAGAGAAGAAATGTTAATGTTAAATAATTTATTTGTTTCGTCAGGTGTAGCGCACTATACGGACCTTGTGGAATCTAGAACTTTCCGTGTGTTTAGGCGCGTTTGTCATACCTATTATTGGAAGCAATTATAACAGCTCACACATGGGACCCATTTAGTTTTTAGTCAATTTTCCGTGGTGCTTGGCGACTGAGCTTCACCCAGTTGTACCTTTCTCTTTTTTGTGCCTTTAAGCTTAATTCATTTTGTCTCCTGCAGTAATTCACCAAATGAAGTGGAAACTACCTTTTTTTCGTCTCCTCTTCTGATTCACTTCGTAGCGGTAACCAAGACAGTTACTCATGTCCCTGGGACGCGCCGTACTTCGAGGTTCCGGCGTTTTCATTGTTGTATCTACTGTAGATGCTGGCTTACAGGAGTTGCAGCGGTTTTGGAAGGTTGTGGCGGGCTTGTCCCATCAAACAAAAAAAGAGAAAAAGCCCTGTGAAAAAACTACCAAAAAGCTCCTGATTTCATGCTTCTATTTTCAAGGAATAGTAATAGTATTTAGCTGTATCAGGATCAGGGATTCTACATAACATAACATAACATGGCGCCTTTTTCCCCATAGGGATAGGCGAGGTTTTTATAATGCCACTGTACAATGTAACACCCACTTTTCACTATTTATGTTATGAGTCCCATGTAATAGGGGGTGAGCCTATTGCCATATACCGGGCACAATTCCAGACTCCGTGCTAATACTGAGAACTTTTAAACAACCCCTTGCCCGGCAGTCGCACTTGCAACTACCCAGCCAACAAGGCAGTCAGTCAGGCCGATCAGGGATTTTAAAGAAAAAATATGCATTCAATGGGGATGATGACAGGGTATGAAAATTAAAAATATAATTAGTCCGAAAGTTAGGTAATGAAAAAATATTAGACACGTATTTTTTTATTTTGTCGTATAATAAAACAATACTTAGATAAAACGAATCAAAGTTTAGGAGTGGGGGCTAAAACGTCATTTCTTAGTATAAAATGTACTGAGAAGTGACGTCACGCGACATTTCAAATCAATATATCTTCGAAACTATTCGTTTCTGTGAGAAAATAAAAAATACGTGTCTAATGTTTTTAAATAATCTATCAGACGGACATTAAAATAAAAATTAGTCGTCTACCCTCAGCTTCTACCCATGGCTTCGCTCGCGCTTAATAGTATTGGGTTTGCAAAACATAAAACAGAAATGCTTCACGATTTTTTCCTAATCACAAATATAATACTATTTTTTAGCTCTCTACCTTGAAAATTACGAAATACTCCATACAATTGTATGCAGTAATATTACAATCAATAAACTGTGTGGGGTCTTAAAAATGTTGAACTCAGTCCGAACCGAGTTAAATTAGTTAAAAGATGTGAAAATAGTGTTATGTTACTCTTACTATTCTGTTGATGGTGACCGTACACAATGCATGATGATTACAATCTTATGATTTTTTTACATTCATTATAAGAAGTTTTTTGCAATAAATATTTATTTCAAGGCTTAACATGAACTATTTTATCTATTTTTTTGTTGTAATACCACGGAAACAGAACATAGTGTGATTGGGTTGCATCTTTTTCAGCGTAAGACAGATTTTCAGAACCAATTTTCAAAGTAGTAAATCAAAATAATTTGTTTCAATTAGACCAGAAAGGCACTTTTGAACGTCAAAACAAAATATTTAAATATTAAATAATAAGAAAAAATGTCAGTCTGTAGGTCAGTCCTCTAGTGAAGCTATTTGCTCGTTCCAAAGTGTTCCTATGGAGAAGAACGAGCAAGAAACTCCTTTTCAATTTTTTCAAGGTTACTCTTTTTCAATCATGTTCACAATACAATTTTTGGTTACATTCTTTCGTTGAGTTCAATAATGTGAAAACAATGTAATACCAATGTTTGGTCAAGGAGACGGAAAAAGAAAATAACCTTGAGGACAACAAATTTAAAATTTAATACAGTCTGGAGCTGACCAGTCCCATTTGACAGCTCATTTAAGTGTTGTATTTCCTCCGAAATTTTATTATAGCATTTAACACAGAATCCCATAAATACTTTTGTATCTTTGTCAATCTAAATAGTGGCTGACTTAGTATATCCCTATGTCTAGTTTGATAGTGGTGTCTGTCAGACACTTTACCAAACAACTGTAGGTTGTTCCTAATATACATAATGTTTTCATAAATAAATTGACATGGAACCGTCATAATATTGATCTCCTTAAACTTTTCTCTGAGAGATTCGCGACGACCTAGGTTGTAGATAGCTCTGACGGCGCGCTTTTGTAAGATAGACTCAATGTCAGCAGCGTGTCCCCACAGCAGAATGCCATACGACATAATGCTATGAAAGTAACTGAAGTACACTAGTCTTGCCGTGCCTATGTCGGTTAACTGTCGTATCTTCCAGACAGCATAAGCTGCAGAGCTTTCGTCCCGCTAAAGATGTAATATGAGGACCCCATTGCAATTTGTTATTTACAGTAATTCCCAGGAATGTAGTCTCTTTTACAAATTCTAATTTCCGACTGTTTAATAATATGTCACATTCCTTACTTCCAACATTTGGCAGAACAAATCTAATACATTTCGTTTTCTTATCGTTTAGCACTAAGTTATTTATTGTAAACCAATGTTGAACCTTCATCAGAGCAGTATTTACGTCGTCATAATTATTTGTTCTCTATTTATTTTAAAAACTAATGATGTGTCATCAGCAAATAATACAATATGTGGTTCCTCTCAGTCGAAATCCCGCAAAATATTTCACTGAGCCCTGTCATGAAATGCTATGATTGTTAACTGCGGCTCCTGTAACGGATTGAGTTGCGACAGTCGTTAAATCACGCAAAAACATTTGTCTGTCGACTCCCCCCGACCAGTGACTGATCTAACTACAAATTAACATAACAATTTGTACAAAGAGATCGTCATCCAGTCACAAAGTGACGGATTATACTTCGACTAATGAATATGAAAAATTTCTTGCTCGCCGCCCGACCGGATCCAGGTCCGAGCGTACGCCTCACAGAGCCATCGGACTACCACGGGGTTGATGCCGATATGAAGCCGTGGAGGACTTAACGGGTTGCCGGGGCTCCGGTCAAGTTGCAGGAGTAGGAACGATGTGATATTTTTAATCAGTAAGAGTCTGACAGTCCCTCCCGCCTCACTGAGGCGGGAGAAGCCATTCGATGATTTTTGTTATGGAATAGGAGGTACACGAGCAGACGGATCACCTGATGGTAAGCAATGAGCACCGCCCATAGACAGCCGCAACACCAAAGGAGTCACAGGTGCGTTTCTGGCCGTTTAGAAAGGAATGCGCTATTTTTTAAAAAGTTTTAGGTCGTATCTGTTCGGAATTACCGCCGACGACAGATCATTCCACAGTTTTGCTGTGCGAAGCAGAAAGATTATATTTTGTTTTAAACATTTTATTTACCGATATACGAGGAAAACGACATACATATCACGGTGTATACTTGTATAGCATGTACTTCACTCACCATCCTTTTATGTCTTCTATACCATTTCTACAAACAATCACCGAACTTTAATATTATTGTACTTCATTATTTATTCATATAATATTGACAAATCTTATATTATCTGAATTGGTTTACATCCAACCAATTCGATCATGTTGTCTATGTATAAACAGACAAACATTATAATATTACTTGCATATTTAGTTATTGCGCTCTCTGCTATTTGAAACGGATAACAAGTCAATAAAAACATATTCATTGTGCAACCTGTGCGTTAGAGACATTACAAATATCTAGCGTAACCAATAACGACTTGGTTTTATTTTATGTATTAAACATGTTTCATTTGAAATGGTAACTGTATCATTCGTGCTGCGCCCCTCATTAGTAACAAAGTAGAATGTTGCATTCGTCTCGCGCGCTGGATACAATGGAGAGTGATGTTGTTCGTACAGCAAGTAATCAGCGCCAGCGGGGCGCGCGCGGCGCGCATGCGCGGCGGCCGCCACTCGGCCCCGGCCCGCGCGCACCATGCACCGCCGCGCGCGCCTGCTGCTGCTGGCGACTGCCGCCGCTGTCTCTGCCGCGCTCTCCACTGCACACAACCTTCGAGATACACTCCCAACCAATTGTGGTTCAGCCAGTTTCGGTACAGTTGAAATAATATTTTAATGATATCAATAAGTTAGATAGTTGTGTTGCGTTATTTTAACCAATAATTTTTGTCGATTGACGTTTAACCGCTAGCACGCTTAGTACAGAAGGCTTGGCCATGAGCAGCCTCGTGGGTCGAAGAGATCTAGATTGAAGCCTCAAGGGCCACGACTACTCGTAAGAAGTTTTACTTGTGTCCTTGAGTAGTGTCATTCACAAAAGGACACCCCAAAAACAATAATGTGTTCGTTAAAAGACTACTTATGTTCATGCTGCAGAACGGTGACAAGATTAGCTTTCTATACTTAACAGTTATGCTTACGGCTCTTATAACGTAGAAGTTGCCCATACATTACGAAACGCAGGAGTCAGTGGGAACTGACGTCGATTGGTGTAAAATAGACTTGTTTTGGTTTGGCCCCCGGTCAGATATGACGAGTACGAGTCAAGGTCAAGGTGTGCAAGCATTCGATCATGGACTCCTTTGAGATTTGTGCGTCGGATACATCCCTCGCAACAACTGTACTGTCAGTAAAGTGCTGGTAAATATTGACGCCGTGTCAGTGTGAACTGGTGTTGCAATTTGTCAATGCAAGTTGCTGATTGTAAGCAATCAGCAAGCAGCAGGTGGTAAGCGATCAGATAATACCTTTCCTCATTTGATAGATAAAGTGTGGCAGACACTTCTATTTGTATGTAGAACGCTATCGAAGAGTACCGACGTACCGAAAACATATTTTTAAATTATGACAATAAAATTAATAAATCGACTTCAAAAAAACAAAAAACTAAAAACAAATAAAAAGTCAAAACTAAAAAGAAAAAATAACTATCATTAGGCTACCCACCCACTGAGGTTAAAAGTCGGTGCCATACCGTCATAGTCGGTTTTTGGTTTTTTAAAGTCGGTTTTTGGTTTCTTGAAGTCGGTTTTTTAAACGCAGTTTTTATTTTATTCTTTTATCATTTTCAGTGTAAACCTACATAGATCCGTTTTGTCACTTATAATTTGCATAGGTGCAAAGTTCTAATCAATAGAAGCCCTAACACAAGGTAGTTAATATAAACCGTTGATGAGTTCCCTTAACAATTACACTTCTTCATCATCAGACCGTTAAATGACAGTCACAGTCTATCTGGGTGTAAAGTCCTCATCAATAAAAAACAATCAAGCCCAAACACAAGGTAGTTAATATAAACCGCTGAGCAAGGTATCTATTAAGGTTTTAATGAATAATTTTGTATAGAACTTATGGCGCCGACTTCTAACCTATCAGTGGGTGAATAACCTATCAGTACTAATAATAGTTATTTTTTGCTTTTTAGTTTTGACTTTTTGTTTGTTTGTGGTTTTTTTAAGTCGGTTTTTTATACGCAGTTTTTATTTCATTATAGCATATATTCAGTGAACGGGCACGCGATGGTAAGCAATCGGTGACGCTCATGGACTCCTGGAATACCAGAGGCGTTGCAAGTGGGTTGGGGTGATTAAGGAAAGGTCACACGACGAAACAACGCTTAATTAACTTGCCATTCATTCGTGGAGAACCTAACGGGTTACCGGGGCTTTTGCACGAAGCGCAGGTGAAGGAACGGGGTGGGTTTTAGTCAGTAAGAGTCTGACACTCCCTCCCGCCTCACCCAGGCGGGAGCAGCCATTCGATGATTTTCCCCCCTTAAAAAAGTATAGATGTAGATAGTACAGATACTAGATTAGATCACTAATCACTAACATTAATTATTATTATAATTGTTATTCTACATCAACTCTCTTGTATGTGCAGGTACGCCGACGGGGACCGCCCAGCGGCTGATCGAGACGCAACTCAAGCCTGGAGTGGCCGACTGGAATATCGTAGTGCCCGTGAGTCGAGTTCTACTATTGTAAATAACAGAGTACGATTGCGTAGTATAACCTACTTCTTGGCGTACAGATGCCGCCGGCATGCGAGCAGGCCGAGGTGACTGGCGTCGACATGACTGTATGTGATGCTGACGCGGCGCCCGAAGTCACTATGAGCGATGCTCTAACGGCGCGGGTGCACCGCACAGGTCAGCTCGCTGACTTCGCAGCTGTTAACGTTACCGTCCACTGCATTCCACCCGTGCCGAGTACGAGCCCTGCGCCCACCATTACACCCGCTGCCCCCGCACCGACCACACCGCCTGCTCCTCCGTCCACAACAGACGCTAGGTCTACTTATGAAATGTTTTCCGATGAACTGATTTCGAATGAGGAGATTTCCAACGAGACACCGCCCAATTATTTAATGGATTACGACTTAACATCAAATGAGTTGATGCCACCGACGACTACTACAACAACCACTACGTCAACCACAGCGGTGCCACCATCACCGGAGGTGACCACGCCACAGTTAGAAACAACTTCTACAACGGAACTTATCACAACTACACGAAAAAGAAAGATCCGACCTAAGGTTAAAAAACCACGTACACTTAAAGTTACGATTAAAATAGCACCAATGAACCATGATGTTAAAGAAAACGATGGAATACTGAAGTCTGTCGGTGCAGAGTCGAAGTCTTCGTCTCATAAAGACAAACCAGACCAAGAACTGTCATTCCAAAGTTCCGAATATCCATCGTATATGGAGCCTCGATTTGCAATAGACCGTCCACCCCACCACAAGCGGCGGCATCGACACGGGCCCCACTCGCAGCACCACGGCGCGCCGCGTGCGCTGCACTGGCTCGCGCCGCGGCCCCTGTACGGCGCGCCGATGCCTCCATACTCAGTGCTTGGCTCCACTAGACTATTTGGACCGCGGTTATTGTATTGGATGCGTCACAAACCTACCATGTTTTTAAGTCACTATTAAGTACTTTTAATAAATGTTCATATTGAAGTTCAGTGCTATTCTCTGCTGCATGTAATATTGCAGTTTTAGCAAAATACTTATGTAGTGTTTTAACCGACATTGAAAAGCATTTTATTTTGTGACTACGGGATGCTTCTGCTAAAATGATGTTTAAATCATTACGATATTGAAAATAATGAGTTCCGTTTATTAATACCATTGAGGGAGAGAAAGAAAGAAAAATGTTTATTTCAGCCGAGCCGTAGATGTCGACAGAGATGATATTGTCGTCACCACCCTTATTCTTCCGGCTAGTATTTTAATAGCTATATAGACTATAAAGGATTAGATTAGACATTTAATAGAAACCGGACAAAAGCGGTAAACAGTGATCTGAAAGAGACCCAATGTTACCGACGTTGTTTACAGGATTAGCAAGCTAAAATGGCAGTGGGCCGGTCACATTTATCGAAGAACCGATGACCGTTGGGGTAGACGTGTTCTGGAGTGGCGACCGCCTCTAGGCAAATGTAGTGTAGAGCGCCCGTCAGCTAGGAGAGGTTGGATGCGTAGAGCCGAAGGCCGATGGCCAGCAGTGGACGAGAACAGGCTGTTGATGATGGACAACAGCATTCGATGGTAATTGGTAAATGTAATCCAGCCAAGCGCGGAGATTATAGCAATAGAAAATTTTAGTGAATTGGTCCTATCAGAATTTTGTAATTTTTACCCATGTTCGATATGTAGTTCTGCACTACAGAGGAAAAATACTCATAAGGTTAATTACATAGGAGTTACTTACCCCCTTCGAAGTGTAATATAAGTAGGTATTTGAAATGAAATATTTCCTAATAATAAATAACACTTCAGGCCTGTCTTGTAAGATACAGTACAACCTTCAAATAATAGAAGACGTTGCTTCAAAGTGCGCAGTAGTACGGCTGTGGCACCACTGCGCGGCGGTGTGGTAGTGTGGCGCCACGCACTAAACACATAACGCTTGGCGGAATATTTGGGAAACATCGTAAACGATGTTCTCGGTAATGTTACTCAATTTGTCACGCGTAATCTGTACAGGTGGTTATTACCACACAACGACTCGACTACGAATTAATTTTCAAAACATGATTGAGAAAATTAATTATCGTTCGTGGTGACATGTCGGAGGCAATTAGTACCAGGCGCTAAATAGCGCATACGCATCGCGACGGATACTAGCATGGAGCCGCCCGCGTACACGTTACTGCTGCTGGCCTGCGCAGGCGTCGCGCTCTTCGAGGTCGCGCACGCGCAGGAACACTGCGACACCAAGCAGTTCGGTGAGGGTTGTGTACATGTACCTAATCATAAACAAAACAAAGCAGGATACGTACCTAGGTATACATTTGTAAAGGTAACTAGAGCAGAGTATTGTATTCATTTAATTTCGTTTAGAATCTGTATTTTTGTTGGTGCCATGTACGATAGCTACCCCCTTATAAAGATTCTTATTAACTTGGAATAGGAGAGACATCTGAGAATGAGTATAACCTGAAGGAGCAGCGCATGGCGCCCGGCGAGCTCTTCCTGGAGATCACCGACACTAACGTAAGTTGAGCCCTTAACCTGTACCCACATTGTGAAATATTCTAGGACTTCATTGGTAAAGTAACTGTATACGTTTCAAAGTAATATAATAATGTCAATTTGTAAATTATAATAGAGGTACAATAAATAGGTACCTACATTACTTTTGATACTTTACCACAAGATTTTGGAAGTGAATTCATATTTACTTGTTCATTTAATAGATCTCGAAACTGCAACAACTATCGATTTGTTCGACAGGTTTGTGTAGATGCGGCAATGGTCGGCATGAAAGTGTCCGCTTGCGACACTGAGCAGGCGCCAAGGGTGTACGTGCGGGGAAGCAAGGCGTGGTGGTGCGCGAGGGAGACTTGAGTGGTGCAGGCTCCGTGTACACAACGGTCTTCTGTGCCGCTGGCTCTAAAGTAGCAACAGGCGAGGACGTGCAGCCAGAACAGCCTTTGTCATCTGAAGAGGCTATAGTCAGTTCTGAAAAAACGACTCCCCTGCCAGTTAGAAGAGAGTACACATCTATGATTTCCTCATCCACAGAGCCATTATCAGTTCTGCATTTTGAGTCTCGATTATCTTCAAATGGTCCATTAAAATTACCTCAAATTGCAATGAGCCAGTTACCAAGGTTCGAGGATGTACGGAAACCCCACGGACCACCATCACTGGGGCAGGCCAACACTGCTCCGTTGTCGATTCTAAAATCATCTGTATTACATAAAACAAGTCGCCCTTCATTTATGAATGGATTTTTAGCTTGGCCTAAAAAACGATCGCCTCCTTGGCGGGAAATATCTCTACACTTACCTAGATTGCCACTAGGTCCATGGAATGTCCATCAAACGCCAGCGTCGCTGCCACAACCAGTAAGACCTTTACCTTCACCGTGGGCAATGCGACGATCAAATTCTCATTTTGACACACGAAAATATATGTCAGGATATCGTAACGTGCATCCAAGAGGTTATATTAGTTACCCTGGATCATCGTATAATGAAGTTCTCTCTTTACATGGCTCTGAACTTGACCCGAGTATCAGGTTCACTAAAACTGCACCTTTTATGCCTTATCGTTTCTTTAGGCGGCCGAGGTGGACACAGTCACCTCATTGGATCAAAGATTATCCCACTTTAATACATGAGCATCCCTCGCTAATGTCAATAAAACACGTATCCTGTAACCAACTGGAGAATATACCATCAATACATAAACAATGTCCAGATCTATTGAAAGAAAGGGAATATAGGACACAGCGACAGGTGCGTCCGCAACCACTGATATTACTGCAAGAACTAAATAATGTATGCGGAAGATGTTCATGTTGTGGATCTACTCATTTCGTTGAAGATGTTGCGACGTGCTTGTCAGGAGTATCATCACAATGTCTTACAGGTGACGGTGCTCCTTGGCTGCCAGATTACTCAACAGATTATTCTGTTGTTGATGTTACACGAGGATCATATTTTTCGCCGAGACTGTACATCGAGCCATGGAAGTTGTCAAACCTGCCTCCGGTTGCCGGTGGAAATTGTAACCGGTGCCTGCGGTTACAATTTCCATCAGTTTATAAACAAAAGTTTTCTGATTCGTCTTTATATGAATCATTCGATCATTCTCTGTTACTAGCGCCTCAACCATCCCTAGTAGTGGAGCAGCAGCCATGGTGCCTGCAATGTCTTCCCATGTCCCCCGGCACAGAGTATACACACTGTCTGACTATCTCTGTGCTTCACGGCCGGTGGTAACGCCCACGGTCCATCATTCATTGCCGTGGGTCGAAAACTCCAAGTTATTGTTGGGAAAGGAAGTCAGTGCGCCGTCGTTAGGATTATCGGCGCAACTTTCCCCTGTACAGCCGTGGAACTTCTTGTTGCTACCACATCCAACTTACCGCGACTCGACACGCGTTACCCGGGTCTGACAAGGATTGTGAGTACAAGGGCTTATTTTAATATGTTATGTGTTTATATGTGGGACAATAAAATAGTTTCAAAACAGTTTTATTATTTTTATCACAATTCTAAGAAGGAGGAGGTTCCCAGTCTTGCTTTATATTTGTTACGTGATTATTATAATAATTTTGACGTCACTGGATTTGATGATGATATTCTAGATAAATTGAGAACGACATAATGAAGAGAACGTTACGTTTTAATTAAATAAATCAAGTCGGTTAATAAACTTATCATCATCTCGCGTAGATGAGCTGAGGACTTAGTACGAGTTTCATTTACGTTTAAAGTATTCGAAACGAGTACGCGTTCGGCGCACTGATTGGTTGCTTCATTGGCGCCGGCCAATCAGAGTGCCGAACGTAAATGAAACTCGTCCTAAGGCCTCTGTTGACGACCTAAACATTAGGTGTTGACAGAAAAAACTTATAAAATAAAAATATCTTTATTCATTGTAATAAATTGGTCATAGTATAGATTAACATCTTAATTTAAAATCAGAGATCGTACTAGGTTTGAATGCCTGTACTAGAAAGAATATCCTGTATCACAGGCGAGAGGAGCACTCACAATAATACTAATTCTAGGACAAGTTATTTCTACAAACAAATATCTTAACATAAATAATCGATCAAAAGTAAAGTTTGGATTATTTTAAAAACAGTAATTACAATACACAAGAACACGATGATACCTAAATATTACATTGTATCGTCCAAGTACTTTTGTTACATAACAAACATAACATCACGCTCACGTTTTTATCCTCGAAGGGGTAGGCAGAGGTGCACATTTCGGCACTAAATGCCACTGTACAATGTAACACCCACTTTTCACTATTTATGTTATGAGTCCCATGTAATAGGGGGTGAGCCTATTGCCATATATCGGGCACATTTCCAGACTCTGTGCTACTACTGAGATTTTTTTTTAAATCCAGTAATACCTTGCCCGACCCGGGAATCGAACCCAAGACCCCTTGACCGGCAGTCGCACTTGCGACCACTCGGCCAACGAGGCAGTCATTTATTAAACAAGTTATTACATTCACTTAAATACAAAGCATTCATACATATGGAACATTTTAGATAATATATTACCACAGAATTTTATAGATCGACTGAAACATAATCTAGTTTACAGTCCAAACGGTCATTCACTCGGTGTTACAATAAAATATGCTTGAACAGCAACAAATTGTTGAGTACGCCAACTTGTTGCGATGTTAATTAATGTGCAAGGAAAGGTTAATCAACTCTGTAATCCGAGAGTATGACACTTTACGCGTCCTCATAATCGATAGAGTTAATGTACCTATATTCCGCTATTTTCCTAGCCGGACAGTTAGTGTCTCCGGTTTTGTGTTTATTGGGCTTATTGTAACGAGAGCATGTAGCACATTTAGGGGATTCCAAGTTATTAGTGTACATGGATGATACGTGTCCTGCTTCTCCGCAGTGCTGCGTATCCATATAGTTGGCAATTGTAGCA